CCTACCACTCGGACAACGGGTTTCAACCCTAAAACTCACCACCCGGGCCCGGGCCCGGGTTAATATCAATGCCAAAACCCTAAAACCACCCTCTGACCGGGTTCTACCCCGAAAACCCTCATCTCATGGGCCCTGGGTCCCTTGCTATCTATATCAAAACCTTGTAACTGATTTACTGACTTTTGTTACTCTGATCTCTTCCTATGCACTCTCGGACGGGTTGGAACCACTAATCTAATAACAAACAACTTTGGAACACCAACATATATAACCCTAAACACCTATCTACAAACCCTCACCACCTATCTACAAACCCTCACCACCCATCCATAAACCCTCACCACCTATCTACAAACCCTCACCACCCATCCATAAACCCTCACCACCTATCTACAAACCCTCACCACCCATCCATAAACCCTCACCACTGGCATCTCTCGGAACATTCCCAACTTCTAAACCTCGATCTCCGTATAACACACGATCCCTATCACTAATGACCTTATCACTTACTATACAATCGTCCTGTATATCACCTTCCTAATACCCATCATATATCTATCCTCCTGACCCTATAATTCCCATATATTTCTACCGTAATCATCCCTCTCACCTGGAAATACACTGAATCAACCATGGAACCCGGCAACATGACAACATATATTTGGCCATCGTCTTTATTACTTGAATACGGAAAACACGAACGCCGCTCTCGATTTCCACCTACCCACCACGCTCAACTCCTTGATATGCTCTCCGTAACCAAATAAACTCTTCCGTAATCTGCGCTCGCTTTCGTCCACAATTCCGCGCCATCTGTCCCAAATACCGAATCAACTCTGTATCGTTCGCCCGGATATTATCCACCCCATGCTCACTCAATCGCTGGAACCACCGTTCTCGGATTACTGCATTGGCATGGGGCCCATGCACCATCATCGCAATCGTCGGAATCAATGCCGTACGATATCCATCACATGCCTGGACCGTCTGCGGACTATGCTCCGTTCGCCGATCGCTCCGCGGACATATATACTGCGGCATCCCACACCAAAAATGCGCCGTGAACCCATCGTACGAAATCTGCCGTCGAATCTTGACCATCCAATCCTTACTGGCCTGCGCAATCTTGCCGCTGCCCCCTTCACCATACCAACACTTCCACATCTCATGTCCATCGTCACGGCCTCCTTGGCTGCATGTCCAACAACGATCAACCCACTTCTCAATCTCACGGATCAAAAACTCTTCATCCTCATATTGCTGACCGGCCCTCCCATCCGCCTGCTGGCATAATTCGGCCCGTTGGATATCCTGTTGCCGAAATGTATGCTGGATGGCGATTGGTACGGCCCGGGCCATGGTGCTGGGAATATCCTCCGTCGGGCCGGCCATCACCGGCTCAACCGCCCCAACATCAACCATCGGGTCATCGGCGATAACGGGGGACGCGGATCCAATCCGGGACTCCTGGTCTTCCCAATTGGGCATACATCCATCACATGCGGACTCGACCACCCGATCACCACATCGCTGTCGTTGGTATTCCTCGATGGGTCCATCCAAATACCCATCCAATATCACTCGCCGGCAACCCGTCACCGCCGCCTCCATATACTCAACAACATGGGCATGGTCGTCCGGGGGCGCATCGTGCATCCAAAACGGACGGCATTCCCGCCCCATCGTCTGACCCTCGGCCTGGATGATAATCGCCTCGCTGGGCTGTCCATCACGCCCGGCCCGCCCACTTTCCTGCGCGTAATCTAACATGGTCCGGGGCTGACCAACGTGGATCACACTGCGGATATCGGGGATATCAATCCCCATCCCTAACGCACTGGTGGCCGTGATCACCGCCCCGGCCTGGTGGCGGAATGATGCCAAAATCCCTTCCTTGTCCACCTGCTTGCTATGGTATGCGGCACAACCTAATAACTCGGCCAATGCGGTGACATGGGCCCGGACGGTGGCATATATGATCACCCGGCCGGGGTACGCTCGGCGAACACGGTCCTGGATGAACTGGATCACACTCCGCATCTGCACCCACTGGAACGGATGGTCATATCCATCGTCTACGGGGATCGTATGGACACGATATGCGATATTGGGCCGGCTGGTGTGGCCCCGATATAATACCACTTGATCCCGGACCCAATGCATCCGATGGAATAATAATTCCTCGCTGCGGGGGGGGCAATGTCGCGGTCAACATCACGATCTGGGTGGCTGCGGTTCGTAACTTGCCCAACTGCTGGAATAATGGCCGGAATCGCTCCTGTTGACTTAATACCATATGGCACTCGTCCACCACAATCCGATCTAATCGCTGTAACATCCGCTGCCGGGTCACAAAATCGGCAAATGCATCGCTGTCGGTGCTCTCGGGCGTGATCAATACGATGGATACCCCATCGGGTGGCCGTCGGGGGTCCCATACCGCACATGAAATCCCCAATCGCTGGCATCGTGCTTCCATGTCACCGCGTAATGCAATCAATGGAACAACCACGATGGTTAACCCGGCACGGCCACTCACCCACGCGGGCAACATAAACAACACACTCTTACCTCCCCCGGTGGGCATGACCGCCACAATGGGGCTTACCCCATGCTTGATGGCTTGTAATACGGGACCCTGTTGCCCCCGCAATGCTACGGTGTTGCTCCCCATCATGTGCTGGAATGCCTCGTCTATGTTGGTCTGGTGTAAATCATATCGACGCTGCGTACGGGCCTCGGCCGTTTCGACTTCCCATGGGTTGGGCTTACGCTTGGTGCCGGGGGCCCGGCGGTCATGTTCGATACGGGTGGACTCGAATCCTAAAAAATAATGCCAATCCTGGCTCACCTGGCGGAATAACTCGCGGTGCCGGGCCGTGGTGTTGGGATTCTCCATCATCATCCGGCCATATTGCGTCCCGGCAATGCTGGCGGAATGCGCGGCCTGGATATCCGCAATGAATGCTCGGATCCCATCATCATCCATGGATGTCTCGTCGTCAATGTCGGGGGCCTCCTCCTCGGTGTTGGCCTGGAACTGACTGCTGGGGCGTAAATACCGCCGGCTGATGGCGATGGCGATGTCACGGTATGCCTGTAATCCCAACTTCTGCCCATCCAATCCAATCGCGGTCTCGCGCTTCAATACCTCCCGTAACCGGACGCTACTCCACTCGGTCTGCCGATCGGGATCCGGGGACCATACATACTCGGCCCGTCGACCGATGGTGGCGGCTTCGCCCCGTATATGCCGCTGATATGACTGCATCTGCTCCACAAATGGCAATACTAACCATAAATACCATATGACCAACTCACCAATCTCCCGGGGTAAATATCGGAAAATCACCTTGGTATCATTGGCCACATGGAACCCCTTATGGTATCGACTGACAAATGTGACCATGCCATCCTCAATGAATATATTGCGGCGCTCTCGCTCACTGTTACGATGCCGGATGCTCATTAACTCGGGACCCCGGCTGGGTTGACCGGCACAAACATGGACGGCCACGCTTAACCGCTCACGGAACTGGCTCACCACTCGAAAAAACCGATCGATGGCGGGCATCCGGAACCCGGCCCCGTGGGACTGTACAAACTGACGCTGTAATCGGGGCTCGTGGCGGATACGCTCCATGAACCACGTCGGACCCTGGACCGGCCACGATGTACGTAAATCCTGTAAAAAACTCCATCCGGTGGCACTCTGCGTGGCATCATCGTACAAATGATCCCACGGGATGGCTGGGGGCGGGTGATCGGTGCAAAACATCAACTCGTGGACCAACTGCTGCCGTAACCGGCCAACCAACCCATGCACAAATCCGCGGAAATGGCCCATGGTAAAATGGATCTGTTTGTACAACAATTCATCTCCGGACTTCCACCCGATATGACCCTCGCTGGGGGTATTCATAAATATCGTCCGTCCGTACGTACGTAAATCTAACCACCACTGGACGGGGCCATTGGTCCCACGAACCATGAATAAATCCACCAAATATGTGACCCATTCGGGGAACGTTCGGTCGGGATGCTGGCGCTGCTCCTGTGTCAATGCTCCTAATATGTCATCGCTGGTGGGGGGGGGGAACTACGCATGGCCACCGGGGATGGGGGGGGGCACTGCCATATCCTTCATCATCGTGGGCATATGCCTCATCGATGCCGATCATATCACCTTCAAACCATGGCGGGTTCTGCTGCCCGGCGAACCCACGACGGATCTCCGATGACCGGGGGTCTAACCGCAATGCTTTGTGCAAAATAAAAAACCGCGCGATCTTGATCAAACTGGATATCCGGGGGGGGGAAATTCTCGGGCGTGGCCCAACCAAACTGCCCGCATCCAATCACGGCGGTGGCACAAATCATGGCACATCCATATTCATCGTTGCGGATCTTCTGGCGTAATAAATCGATGCAAAACGTTAATAATGCATGCTCGATGGGACGAATCTCGAATGGCTCGGGCTCATCATCCTCGGGGTCGGGACAACTGGCCTGGGCCTGGGCATGGCGCCACACGGCATCCCATAACTGCTGCTGTCGGGGGGTAAATGAATACTTGGGTGATTCCCAATCATGTTCAATCTGGGATGGTGAATCAACCTGGGTGTCTGATATCGGGTACGGACGTGATCATACCTGGGTTCGTGCAAAAAACATCATAATCTGCTGCCACGGTGCCACATGCTTTTGAATGGCGGTGGCATCTAAATATGCCAATAATGGCTTATGTGGACTCTCGTCCTTCATCGTACGGACCACATCAATGCGTACTAAATGCCCGCACGCCTTGGCGATCTCCTGGCTCACCGATGCCAATCGCTCCATGGCCTCCCAAATGACCAATGCGATACGCTCTGGTCCCTCGGCATCCTCCTCGGGGCGCTGGGTACTCTCGAATAATGGCTGCCGGGGGGGTCCCTTGTAAATACCGAACCCACCCCGTCCGATTCAACCATGGCGTGGCTTCATCTAACTCCCCGGCCTGGATGATGGTTTCATGGGCCTGTTGATCTTGCTGCTGATACTCCTCAACCATTTGCACTAACTGGTGAATCCGGTCGGGGTCTTCCACGGGGTCTATGGGGGGGCTCATTGGGATTGGGCTGCACAATATGAATATAATGTGAACCGGGGCCTTGGCTGAATATACGCTGACACGCAACGGCTCGGCTATTGGCGTTAATGGCGGCCTGGATGGCTTTTTCCTGTCTGGGTGTGGGACGACCACGGCTTTGCTGTACACGATACTGATGGGCCTCTATCCAATGTGCCTTCATCGTACGGATCTGGCGGCATGTATATACCTCACATTGCTGGCACAATAATCCATCCTGATAAACGGGTAACTCGGGGATGGGTTGATCAATCTGGCGGGGCCAACTATCCACCTCTGGGTGATCATCAATATGATCCCACTGCTGGATCACTCTGTCGATATACTGTACCCACGAAATGGGTATCCGATGTACGGTACTACTTAAATGGGCCTTGATCTGTCCCCGGCGTACGGCACATTGACATTTCTGGCAAATCAACACGCGAAATTCGGCATTGACACAAAATAATTCGTGGGCCTGGTATTCGGTGTCCATGTCGGATATGGAAATCTATATATCGGCTGGTATTGTATATCTGGGAAATGGGATCAACTCAATGTTGTTCAAATGGACCCAAAATAAAATGGGATGATGATGGGGGATCTGGGAAAACCCCCCTGAAATTTGAAACAAAAAAAAACAAATCCTATGACTAAACTACATATGGTGGTTGTTGATGTTGGTGGGTTTGACTGGTCGCGACCGGCGGCTGGTGGTTACCCCATCAAAAAATCTTGCTACTTTGTGGGGGACAAAATCGATACTGGATATGCTCTGATTGTGCTTAAATTTGGCTATGGAATAAAACTAATACTAAATTAAAATATATCGAAATCTGGAAACTCTACGACATTATTTTGCTAAATTCAATGGGGGTTTGAAATCTAAATTCAATGGGCCCTGGACCCACTTTTTTCCCCCATACTTAACAAAACCCTAAAAAATTCAATGGGCCTCATTGAATTTCCCCCATGGGATAGAGGAATACCTAGGACTCGCCAGTAAACAAGCCAAGGGACAGCATACACACCAGTCCGCCAAAGCAAAAGGTGTCCGAACAATGGTGGAAGCCATGTTCAATAAAAGCAACACAGCCTAGAAGCGACAGGTAATGAGGAAAGGAATCAACATATGCACCCAAAGTTCAGTCAGCACGCGTTTACTCCAGAAATTTACATCCAAGGCATGGCCTCGAAAGCAAACATGAGCCTGATGGCATGGTATAGTTCTGATAAAGAGCCCAATACGCTGGTTCCGATTCTGATTCCACGGGCGAGCGAACAGATAAGAGTGGGTCCCAGAACCTCGCAATCGACTTCAATCATCAGGGATAATGGAGAATTTTAGCCCATGACGAGAAAGGATGTCAATACAGACAAGCCAGGCTCGGTGTGCAGAAGGATCTCTACCCGACATGGCGCAGAGCCAGCGGATAGCCTTCTGAACTATCTTCGTGAGACTGGTCGCCTTTTTTGTTCCAGGCAAAGTTCTGGCGAAGAGCTCAGCCAGTATGATTGTTGTGGATTGCATGATGTAGTGGAGAAAACACCACCAGGGTGACACCTCATATAGCCAATTGATATCGGGTGTTTCGGGCAGGATGTCTAGAGTCCGTTGCGCAGCACCCACACACGTTGTTGCCATCATATCGCACACTGAGCTGGGAGAGGGTGTGCCGATGACTTGATGGGCGAGACGGCGGAGACACGGCTGCGAGATAACTAGCGTAGTGGTGTAGAAGCGGAAGGCTAGAATGGTGCGCTGGCGGATAAAAGGACGAGTACTGTCGAACTCGTCGAATCGAAACTCCGCTGGAAGACGTGAGAGCCAAGTGTCAGCAGTGGTGTTGAAATTAGATATTGCCATTTCCATCTCCAACCACGACCGCCGTGTTCCCGCCCCGGGTGCGTACAAGGTTTCGATTGCCTCTCGCGTTAACATCGCCAAATCCAGCATATAAAGGAAATAAAGGGAATTATTCGGTGGTGGGGTTTCCTTTATCGACTGGCGCGTTTGCTCGGTGCCCGTGCTTGGCGACAGGGTTACTGAAGAGGCCATGCTAGACCCAGGGGTGGTGGGCTCGCTGGAGGTGAGGAGACATGGTAACAAATTGCTCCGGGCTTCGTGGTTGGTGATAAGTTGAGTTACTCCTTCATCCCAAAAGTCCTCTTCGCGATATGGAACGGGGAGGGGCGTGGTGCAAAAGATGCCGCCGGTGCTGGGGGGCCGCCCCTTCACCACGAATCTAACGCAAACAATGCCCACCATACGCGGTATCGGGTTTCCTTCGATAGATGGGCGACACTTTCCGTCTCGTTACGGAGATTGAGTCCCATTGCCACCGCTGAGCGAATAGCTGTCCCAAGGATCCTCCAGGACCTAATAAAGACTGGATTAGGCAAACCCACCACCAAAAAAAATAAAAAAATATCAGTAAAGAACAACCAAGGTAGACACACCTGTTAACCTGACCCGTCGACAAGAGGTAAAATGCAGCTAGACCCTCTACCTGCACTTGCTGTAGGTTTGGATGGTCAAACAGCCCGACGCTGCCCATGCTTAACCGCCACGCCCGAGCAAAGTAGGCCAAGTGATCAGTGTAGTTTCCCTGGAATTGGGTTTGAAGCACATGGGAGTGTTTTGCTGCGATGGCAAACACGAGGTTTAGCACGGCTGTCCATCGCTTGCCGGGGCGCACGTCTAGACTCGAATAGAAGGACCGGTATTGGTTGATAAAAATTTCTTTGCCGATGATGGGAAAATCAGGATGAATGGTCTGGAGATAACTTTCGACGAGCCTGTCAGCAATTTGCTGGGGTGGTCGAACTGCAACGTCGATATCGTCAGGGATAGGGATGTCCGATTCGTCTAGAAAGTAATTGAGAGATGAGATCGATGGTCGATCGGGAATGTTTCCGGCAGGGGCGAGGGCGCCTTGTTCTAAATGGCGCTTAAGTCTGTAGAGCCATGTCACCTCTGAGTGCTCTCCAATGAAACCCATGGACTGGGATGCTTCATCAAGGTTGAAATCCTCGTCAGTGTAGTCCCTGGTGACCAGCGGGACTTCTCCCAGCATCGGATGGAGTGGCCAAAATTCGGGAGACTTGTTACGTTTACGACGGGATACAATGTTAGTGAGAGAAATGAGACCAAAAAATACAAGAAACAAACACAAGAAAAGATTTCAGGCCAAGGTCTGGGGAGGGGGAGACCCTTGGAAAGAGCGTGCATTCTCACACTGACTAATAGACCACCGAAGGCCTGATCAACGTGTTGCGCGGATATTGAGTCCAGACGCGGGTACAGATCTCATAGCAAGTTTTCATGGCTTTGCAGTTGTGCGGATAGATCCTTTAACTCTCTAATATCTTAGTTAGATGACGATCACAAATCATATGAAGCGCCAGCACACACTTGACCGTCTTTTCGCCTTTCCGATCGCCGCAGGAACATTGGGCACCACTATCCTGACAGCGCTGACAGGAGGGGCGATGGCCGCTGCATTTGGCTTTTTGATCGTGACAGTTATCACAGGCTCTACTAACGCGGCGACGGGTAGGATATTCACTAGGATAGACTGAGCGAGGGATCGGAACCTTTGCATTCGGGGCCGCTGGCCTTCGTTGGAATCCGAATGGTCATCGCCAGGGGTTTGTTCCATAATGACCTGGAGCCCGGACGCCCAGGGCCTGGGTATGCCTTGACTGAACTGATCGTAGAATTGGAGCTGACCCGTGAGCCGAAAATGCTGGGTGGTGGATGGTATCTGTCGGACCACTTTTCGCCAATGAAGTTACACAAGGAGAAAATACGCGGTAAGCCCCTTACCGTCCTGGGTATGATTGGTGGAATGTGGTCGAAAATGCTCTGTGATTGGGCTGACTGCAGAGCAGAGCTTTGAGCATTTAAAATCCCAAGGGAAAAAGGCCCATTTCCACTCCTTCGCCCCTCTCTGAAAGAAAGAAATTTGTCTCTTAATGTCAATTTGATTATATGTGCTATCTGATTGGTGCATTCGTATATGCAGTAATTGCTACTTTACAGTCAAGAATATTATGGGCACATCCTTTGAAATCACCGAAAGGTATTCAGATCTAATTACGAGGCCTTGGTGCCTTGGAGTAATATGGTATAATCAAAGAGCTTCATATAAACCTTCAAGTTCATACTGACGAGTGTCGTAGGCAGTTCCGCAAATTATTCATTTACCAATCAGAAAGTTGCCATCAAGGAGATTGGTAAACCATATAGTTCGATGGATCTCGCTAAGCGCACGCATCGCGAGGTTCATTTGTTGAGCAGACTGCGACACAGTAACGTACGCATCAACCGAGCACCTAAAGATGAATAGAAAGACTGTCCATATCAGTTGATCAACGTGAATGATACCTTCAATTGATCCACAAGATAGCATGCGAATTCCCGCTAAAATTGGCGGCGCAAGACAGCTAAGAATTCCTTTCGCTTAAGGGGCTTGACCAGGAAAGTGTTGATTCCGGACGACAAAGCCTCCTTCTGAGCACCGGCGCTATCAAGCCCGGTTAATGCAGCGATGGTTGTGGGTGGAAGCACGTTTTGAGCCGATTCGGATAACCCGGCGCGAAACTCCTTTTCTATGCGTCTAATTTCCCGTGATGCTTGAAAGCCATCCATTACGGGCATTGATATATCTAGTATGGTCAGCCAAGTAGTGAAAAGAAGATAGAACAGACCTCGGGACCAGTGGAGAAAACTTGGAAAACACACCAATTACGATAGCCTGAAATGCCCCAGGTTCGGCCTTAAAAAGGTCAACCGCCTGAGCGCCATCCTTAGCCGACTTGTAGGTAAACCCGCCTTTCTGAGCATAGGCACAAAGCAGCTGGAGATTGACATCATTGTCATCAACTAGCAAGACAATCCGCTCTTGGCCAACTTGTGCGTCGTTGCTCGGCGCTCCTTCCTCGCGCTTGAGAGGGAGGTCTGACAGAACTGGTTGTTTTGAATCAATCTTTTGATTTTCAGGACTTTGTCCAGGGCTCCCATTCTTCTCCTTGCTCATTGTTTCTGCGGTCGGTCGCTTGCTAATTCTCATCCGATCCTGTGGAGGATCTCTGGCATCGATGTCTACTGGGAGGTGGGAGGATCTAGGCACCTCTACCCAGTGAGTTGGCTCATCACTTTTGTGTCGTCCTTGTTCCTGTTCCTGTTGTCGTTTCAAGCACATATTTATTGCCCGAGCCAGCTTTCTCGGCCCACAAGGCTGGCTCACAAACTCAAAAAATGTTGCCTCACTTCGGTTTCGGGATAAAACATACATGCGATGAGCTTCCTCTGGCGACTGGCAGACGACGATGACCGGTGAATTATGGGTGTCTCCAAAATCCAAATTACGGGCAAGACCAAATATGTCTCTTCCATCAACGTCCTCACAATCTAACTCAGTCTGCACAGCAAAGTAGAAATCAAAACCAAAGCTTTTCCCATCTGATGGTGAGATATTAGTCACTTCAAGGCCAAACCAATCACGGCACATTCGTTCCAATGACGAATACAATGCTGTGTCACGTTGCGACTTGAGAGACTGCCCGAATCCTAGAATTCCCACAGTGCGTCCTTCAGTTTGAACTTTCAGAGAGGAAATGGATCTCGATGACGACGAATCTGAAGTTTTCATGGACTTCATGAGTGGTGCATGGATTGAGATTTGAGTGCCTTGTCCCACAGTTGATTCAATTTCAATAGATCCCCCGAGTAGACCGACAGCCTGGCGAACAATACTCAGTCCTAGCCCGCTTCCGGATGCAAGAGGATCCTCCTGCTTAAATGGGTTGAACAGATCGCTTTGTAGGAACTTTGGCCCAATGCCCTTTCCGGTATCTTTCACGGTAATAGTGACATCAAAACCCTGCTTTTGCTCGCTAGGAGACTTCTTCGAAATTGAGCTAGTAGAGCTTGCAGATGATTTCAACCCAAGGTAGATATATCCAGAAGGAGTGTACTTAAGTGCGTTGCCGAAGACATTCATAAGAATGCGTCTCCACGCACCAGCATGAGTCTCAAAATCCCATTCTGTGCTTGCGTCGATGTCAAAGATGACCGTGACCTGACTGGCTCGGGGGTCAACAGGATCTGCTTGATTAGCCTGGCCGGCGGATCGTGAGGAAGACTCCGTGAGAGCTGGGGGAGGCGTCTGTGGATGATTATAGAAGCAGTGACCGGCAAACACACAGTCTGTAACTTCTTCGAGGACAGCATCCAGCTCAACATGAGAAGTTGATGGGTTCTGACCAAGCGGGATATTCTGCTGTGATTGTGATTTCTTTCTGCGCTTTCCATTTCGAGTAGTGTCGCCTTTCCTGTATTGATCGATGAATGTTAGATCAAGCAGGCTATTGATAGTATCCAGCAGAGTACGACCACATGACTCGACCGTATGAACCATCCCATACTGGAGTGCATTCATGGCTGTGTCACTCAGAATGTCGGCCGTGCCCAAGATTCCGTGCAGTGGATTTCGAAGTTCGTGCGTGATGCTGCTGACGAGGTTGGTCTTCGCCCTCTCCGCTACCTCGACATCAATACGCCGAATTTCCGCCATTATACTGTTTGCGAAGGCAGATGTATAGACTAGCTCATTTTCCAATGTGAAGACTCGGTGTGGCTCATTTGTCCAGATCAAGGCTCCCGCAAACCATCTCTTTCGGTCTACATCCCAGATAGGTAAGACGAGAACGCTTCTGGCGCCGGAAAATATTTTGATCAAGTCATCAGCATGTCGCTGAAAGGCTGGCCTGCGTCTGCGTGTGCTTGATGAATGACAGTCATTTTTATATGGCATGGTAGCGTTATCAGATCGTGAATGTTCTTGGATTCGACGGTCACTGTCCTCTGAGACAGACCCATTTGAATTGTATGTGAAGATTTTCCCTTGGGGGTAGCGGTTAATTAAAGAGCTAAATATCGGCTCTGGTACCATGACTGCTCGGCCAGCCCTTTCTTCGTCATTGATGCTTGAGACCCTTGAGCTTGAAAATCCTAGGCATTCAGAAACTCTCTGACCACCATGGTCAGAATCCCGATCAGTATCGGTAACAGACCGACGAGACGATGATTCTGAACCAGTGCTTTCGTCGTCGCCGCCTGTCTTAGTTTCATCGAAACCGGAGCCGGACACTCTGCGCTTCTTCTCATCGACCAGATCCCCGAAGCGATGGGAATTTGCATCAAGAAACATCACTCCTTCCGCCCCAATTGACTCTCTGAGTAAATTTGCTGCGCGGGAAAAGACGTTCCTTATACTGGATGGGAAAGCGTCATGTTTTAGACTACTGCCTTCCAGGACGGCTCGCGCGACGTTCTTATCTTCAGAGAATTTTCTTCCATGGGTCGGTGGAATTTTTGTCTCGTCAGGTAGTGTTTTCTGACCAGAGTCGCCTGATTTAGGACTACTGGCTCGAGAACGATGAGCTCTGTGCGGTAGTTGTCGAATTGACAGTGTTTTCTTGCCTGTTTCCTTTGCAAGCTCTTGTAAATCTTGTTGCTCGATGTTCAGCTGGCCTTCTGCAGATTCCCCAGAGGTTTCTGCTGAAAGGTGCTGAGCATGTGCCTCTGGCCATGAATCACGAAGTGTGGATCTTCCTTCGACAAAGCTGCCAAGACCAACAATCATGCGCTCTGCTCGACGGATTTTTACTGTAGCCTCTCTCATTGACAGGTGTTCCATCACAGTCGCAGCCATATCCTTCAGAAATTGACGAGAGTGCTGATCAGGTTCCGATGATTTTGCCTTGCTGTCCATTACAGTAAAAGCACCAATATTGTATCCCCGCGGACTAATTATTGGGACTGCGACGAAAGAGCGTATTTCCGACAGCCCAGCTTGCAGGTTCGAAAGATTGAAACGCTCATCCTTTTTCATATCTAGAGCAATGAAGACGCTGTCATTATCGCCTGTATCTCCAGCCTGATGTTCACTAGAACGGCGTGGTGTTGACTCGACACAATGGCATATTCCTCGCTCCTTCGGGAACGTGCAGCTCCCCAAGATTAAGCGCTCATTTTCATTTGCCATGCGACCCCCAATAAGACTCAGGCTTGGAGTAGCCTCTGCCAGTAGATGTTGGTGGGTGGAATCAAATAGGGAAATAATAGCTCGCTCAACACCCAGTCGTTTTGTAGCTAACTGGGCGTAAGAATTCAAGGCCGAGTCCGAAGAGGCCACAGGAGTGAAGCCGTCCTCACTGGCGCGATCAAACGGGGCATAGCGTGCCGAGGATTGTTCGTGCGGAAAATATCTGTCGAGAATGAACAATCGGTTAGACAGCAGACTAACATACTATACTATTGCCACCTGGGCAGCCTCAGAGGTAAGTAAACAAGGGTGGAATCATACTTGTGGAACTCTCGTTCTTGCGCCAGTCTATAACGCGACTGCGTACCGAGACCTATGATAGCAGCCATTGACGGCGAAGATCACAGGAGAACAGTGCAGATTTGCGCGGGGGGGCCCATGATAAGCTGCAGCGTGGTTATAAAGTGGATTGGAAATTGGGCTAACCCGGTTTTTCCACTGTTGTCACCTGGTCGCGCCCAATTAAATCCACAGATTCCTCCTAGCGGGTCCATGCAATGGGACGACGTCATCGGAGATCTGAAGTCGGATCGTCTTGTCAAGACGAGCCAGACATGCCTACTAGTATGTAGCTGTTTCTCCACTGCTGTTCGATCAAGATTAGTTCTCTTAAAATATTTGTCAATGTCCCGTTGGGAATTCACAGATAATACCATATTGCTATCATCTAGTCTCATCCCTCGGCCGCAAGCTATTATCCGTCGTGGAATATTACTAGCTACCTCTTTTGTCTGTTCCTTAAAAGGATCTAGGCGGTTGAGTCAGGTTTTGTTGTGTATACTTGACCACAACTCGATTGTTCAATTTATTTCTCCTCGATCTGGTAGTCGATACGGTCTGATGATGTAAGAAATGTGAGCATTAACCAATAAGGTTCTCAGGATCGGGCGAAGGGCAGATTATTGATGGCGCACATTCGCAGACCGGGTGACCGGGGTGGGAGCATACGAGTGAGTCTGTTCCCGTTGATCGGTATCTCAAGGTGATCATCATCGTTGAAAGGAGTAACTATAATCCCCCAAGGCAAAAATGCCACTGAGATGGCGGTGCATTAGCTTCCACCAAGGGTGTTACGGAGCATCAAATCAGGGGGCTGTTGCTGACATATTGGGTATTATGATAAGCAGGTTCCTCGGTAGTCTTCAGGTAAGCGAGAAGCAGGATTTGCAAGTCACTATCGCAATATTTGGTGGCGAATAAGCCCCGAAAATGTCGACGAAAGAGGGTCGCAGTTTTACTAGTGCGCCCGAGGAATATTCAGCACCCCCATATGCCTCCTGTTTTCAACCATGTTTGCATCACTCTAAACGATCTTACTAAGCCCACATCGCATATAACTATTCTGTACTTTCCATAGTATTCAAAATAAAACACACTCAAGTACTCAATTGGCTATGCCTAGACTTCGGCACGACCCACGGGTACCCATGGGTACCCATACCCAACCCATCGATGGGTTAGGTTTTGGGTCCAAATCTCCGACCCATGATGGGTTATGGGTCGGAGCTCAAAACCCATAACCCATATTGCTGTAAACAGGGCAAACTACGAAAAATCTCGTGATTGCATAATTAATGCAAATTTAGCTGTAATTTTAGGTATTCTAGTCACATGTAAAAGAACCTACATGATGATGATAATTGATTCAAATTAATTCTATTATTCAAATTCTAGTACTGCTCAAAATTATTGTCCTCTCTGTGTTTACGCTTCCTTGTAGACATCCGTAGCTGAGTCCCATTCTCTGGTAATAGAGGCTGCTGAGGATCTTGACCCTCAACACCAAGATCTATTAATTCAGTAGTAGAAGCTACAACAATATCCTCCTCCTCCTCCTCCTCCTCCTCCTCATTATCACTAATCGAAACTATCTCAACATCCTGGAGATTCTCATCATTCTGTTCCTTTGACATCTCAATCTCATCCAACGTAAAATACTTCTCAAGCTGCTTCATCTCTGCCTCCTGGAGATCGAATCTTGATGCACACAGGAATAGCATGATTTCTTCAATAGTCTCAGACTTTAAACGGCCGCGTCGGTAATGGCAGACATCACGCGCGGTGTTAAAAAGCCGCTCAACACCAGCACCAGTTGCAGGGATTGAAAGAAAATCTCGAGCAAGCAATGCAGTTGCGGGAAACCGAGACTGGTTCTCACGCCAAAAATGAAGTGGTTCATCTTCGACTGGGTCTAGAAATAAATTAGTATAGAATATTAAAGATAAAGACTCTTTATGAAAGAGTTAAAGAACAAGACTGACCACTATCAAGATACTGAGCAGCCTTATCTCCAACAGGTTTTGCTATAGTCTTGCTCCCACTGAGCATCTTGTTGAGTTTTGATGTAGGTCTTGATGATGCCTGGGGTGTAGGTGAGGCTTGATCTCTGGCAAGACGTTGCTGATATGGAAGCAGTGCTGACTGGAATGATTTGCGATATGCAACACGCCACTGTTGCTCCCAGTCATCAGTTTGAAAGAACTGGAATTTGCTATCTGGTGCAACCATAGTACAAATCGCAAAGATATGTCCTTTCACACTATCTGTTTGCGAATAGTAGCCACCAAGCTTCTGTCGGCCAGCTTCAAGTGATTGGAGCATCTGCTTTTTCCATGGAATCCGCTTCTTCTTTAGCTGACCTATTGACTTCTCAAGATGCTCAAAGAGTGCATTGTAGAGCTTGAAAACCAGATGTGTAGTAACCTCCTTTGTCTTTGACAGCTTAGTAGTGTAGTCAAAGAAAGGCTCTGTAATACAGAGAAGATAATCAATCTGACGCCACTCCTCATTATTAAGCAACATCTCTTTACAATCATACTGCTCACAGAATGATATAAAGTAGCTGCGTAGTCGTTTGGCACGTCGAAGCATCAAAAAGGTTGAGTTCTATTGAGTTCGGACATCTTGAATAGGCACTAGCCTAGGTTCTTTAGGCTGAAGCTGGAGAAAGGTCTCTCGCCGTTGAGGACTGGTATGGATGTAAATTGCAAGATAGCGGACCTTGTTCAATGTGCCTGAAATCTCATGTTTCTGTTGTTTTGCATTTGCCTTTGCTGCAGACGATTGCTGATCGGTCCATTTTATCTCAGCGGCATCATTTTGGGGTACAGCTTTAAGACGATCAAGAAGCTGATTCAGACAGAGCTGGATGACATGGGTAAGATAAGGGATTCGGATAACAGTGGTCTCACTAGAGAGTGCTTGCTGAATTGTATCCACCAAAGTTTTGTTGTTTGTTGTATTGTCTGTTGTAATTCCAAAGACTTGATTTTGGATGTTGTGATGGGTCAAGGTCTTAAGGAGAACTGTGCTTAGATTTGCACCAGTATGTGAGCCATATAATGGCTTAAATCCAAGAAGAACCTCTTGATATACCCAGTTGGCATTAACAAAATAACCAGTGATTGCTATAAAAGCCTGGTTATAGGGAGAAGTCCAATAATCTAGTGTAATCGATATTTTTGACTTAGGAGGAAGGGTTTTGAGAGTAGAGCGTTGTTTATCTTGGATAATATCTCGTAATCGTCGCCGAATCGTTGTTGCAGAAGGTATTATCGGAGGAGAAGGTGCTAAGCGTGCAGATCGGATAAGGGTGTGGAAGGTTGGATGTTCAATAAGATGGAATAGTAGGCGATTTAAGGTGAGAAACTGCAATAGCTGTGTCTCCTATGTAGTTTGTGAGAATGACTGAGTAGCTGTTTGGCCCTAAAATAGTTAATATAAGATAAATAATAGTAAATAGAGAACATACTTCTGATATTAGGAACTGAGAGATATCCTCTTTTCTGTTGGCCTTGACCTTTTGGCAAGCTGCTGTTTTGAGATGCTTTAACAGAGTTGATGTACCATATAGACTTCTGCCATTTGGTAAAATTGATACAGGATGCTCTAAGATCCGGGCACAGTTTTTATATATAACCTTTAGTGCCCCATCTTTACAAGCGGCAACCTGATCAAAGTGACTCCAGATATCTGAATTGCGATTTGTATCCTATTTGAGATTGCTTTTCTGTCCAAAGTCTGTCTGGAGCCACCAATCAACCCAATCTGTGTGAGTCATGCTGTTGTAAAGTATAAATGCCTTTCTCCGATCGGGGCCAACACGAGTAAATAAGTCAGGGGGAGGAAGATTGCTCGGTCGGAGAAAATCAGGCTCACTACCTTCAATTGGACAAGAACCAAGAATACTGTTTGTCGGCGTAATAAGAGGATTTGAAGGAGTAAAATCAGTTAACTGACCTGTGTCCCCCTCATAAAGAGAGGGCAGAAAGTCAGACTCCTGGCTTTGGCCTTGGGACATATTGACACCAACTGAAAAATAGCTGTAGAGAAAGCGAGACATATTAGGAGAGAACATACCTTTAGCAAAGAGATTGACTGAACAGACAGATTCTTCTAAATCCAGCTGGAAAAGGGGATAAGTAAAAGCAATATAGGGAAATGATATTTTATTGGCTATGGGCACAGATCTGATCCACTGAAACCCATCACCAACCCATCAAGCCCATGTGATATATCGAAAGCCCATCGGAAACCCATCGGAAACCCATAATACCCATCAGAAACCCATTTAATACCCATTCCCAACCCATTTCCCACTTTTTGGGTCGAAAAAGATTTTGACCATGGGCAGTTTTTGGGCGAAAAACCATCCCACCTATAAGATAGACTCTTTGTCTCTAAAAGCTCTCTATTACCTGGGTATCTATAGTAAAAATGAATAAATAAATACTAGTAGACTTTATTCTCTATGAGTATTTATTAGTGCTCTAGATTTTGGTAGTTCTTGAAGTGAAAAGCATTTTTGATCCCTGTTATATTGGAGTATGTATTACCTTCCTAGAGATATATATCTCCATGTTCTTCCAAGGTTAAGCGTCAAAACAGCCAAAACATTACATACTACAAAAATAGAACCACTGCTACCTAAATTTAACAATTTGATCTGAAAAAAATAAATAATTTGATTCAAAGATTCTTCTGCTGATTTTAAAAAATGTATTTTGAGAAGAGACTGTAACTATACAGCCATGAAGTCATGAATATCAAAATTACAATGATCAGTCAGCTGAATTATCCATGCCAAGCCTCAAATTTATGCACAATATGGGTTTTTTGTACCCATATGGGTACCCATGAAAAACCCATGGGTACCCATCGGGATGGGTGCACCATTTTGAAAAAACCCATAACCCATCATGGGTTGGGTATGGGTCCAAAAGTTGGACCCATTTGGACCCATTGCCGAAGTCTAGCTATGCCCGTACTAGTCCGTACTGTAACGACAACGTTCCGACAAAAGATCCCGGTTGCTGATATAATGAGACTGGGATCACGTGCATACATTTACCTACCTCTCTCTTCTCTTGTATCTTAGACAACACATCCAACACAACACACAATCAACTCCCCTCAATAATATGAACATTGAAGCACCACTTAATAAAATAACAACCCGCGGTGGGCTGCCCGTGGGCGGGTAAGGAAATTGAAAACCCAACCCAAACCCGCGTTTGGCGAGGTCTACCTCAAGCTGCCATAGTCTAGGCCTCGCCAAAACCCGCCCGTGAAAACCCAGCCTGTTGGTTTATTAAGTGATGCTTCATTGGTCATATTATTGAGGGGAGTTAATTTTGTGTTGTGTTGAGTATTGTGTAAGATACAAGTAGACTGAGAAGTCAAGTATATGAGTATGCACGTGATCCCAGCCTCATTATTATCCATGCAACCGGGGTATCTTAACAGGCGGGTTCATCAAGGCCAAAACCCGCGTTGGGTTGCCCGTGGGCGGGTAATGAAATTGAAAACCCAACCCAAACCCGCGTTTGGCGAGGTCTAGATAAGACCCATTTGAGAAACGGATCTTTATCTTACTATGTCCATTTATGCGAGTTCGCATGTATATTTACCAGTGCAATGACACCATTAGCGCGTTCGCCTAGAGTAAGTTAAATCGTATAACTTTGCTGCTGCACGAAAAAAGGTATCATGGCTATCTTTGAGATCGGAACGGGCTAATAGGCTCCTGCCCTCTTGATTGGCTGATTTCTTTGAGGATCCTGTGCAAATTGGGGGCATGGTAAATGGTTGATTAAGGTCAGATGGTGGGAATACGCGATTTTGAATGGGGTGATCCGTTCCTTTAAGAATTACCTCAGCTCAAAAGAGTAGCTATTTATAAACATGAGTTGATAGTAGCAGCCCCTATCGGCCCGTAGAGCCTTTTTAACCACCAATGCCGACAAAGCCGAGGGTGTTGCCCAGACAGCCTATTCCACATGTAACAAAGTGATACTATAGCTTCACTTTCGTTTGGTACTTTAGAATCTCCAGATCATCATAGCTCAACACGCTCACACGGCTGCTGCGGATCTCCGGACTGGAGAGCAGCGCAGCGTAGCATTTAGCAAAATCGGTGGCCTTCATTGCGCCTGTCTTAGCCGCCGATTCGTCGACTTCAACACGCAGCGCTAGGTAGACCTCATTGAAACGGACATTGGTCTTGTAGTTATCGCGGCATGCCACATTGGCTAGAGAGAACAATGCACCTTGAGTGAGAGCGGGTGGGGCACGGGCCCCTAGATCTCCCTGCGAGCCTGTGCAGAGAGTCCAGGTACTGCGCGGGTCATTCTGATGGAGCAGGTACGGGATCGTTGCACGATATGTCCCTAACGATTGTCAGTCACTGTCTTCCCAACACCAGTCGGAGGACTTACAAAAGTTCGATTCGAAGTTGACTGTCATTATCTGGCGCAATTCCTCTGTACCGATGTCCTGTAACGGCGTGGCCGAATACCCTCCACCGGCTACGTGTCACGTTAGCCGGGCCTCAATCTTGGCATTAAATTTAGACAGTGGACAAACCTGCGGCATAGACATGTTGAAACGCGGGAAGTTTGCCAGCTTTGACTTGCTCAACGATGTTTTTCACCCCACTCTCCGAAGAGAGGTCGGCTAGGACGGTTGTGATTCCCTCCGTGGTTCCTACGTGGTAGAACAATTTGGTTGCTGAAGCCTCGTTGCGAACGACAGCCAGCACATGACGCCCTGTTTGCAGCACCGCCTTAACGGCCGACACACCAATGTTCCCGGTTGCCCCAACGACTAGGACGGTTTCCTTGCTAGGCAGTGACATCGAGAGAGGTTTTATGATGTTGTGGGATCTAACCAAGTGGAATTAATTTTCATCCCAAAAGATAGCCTTGTCTTATATACCATTCATAAGAGACAGAAACAAAGTCCTCATGTAAAATCAATAACCCGGTATCTAAAGTTTAGCCATTCGTTGAATTTCCACTCAATAGTATAGGAGATGTTATAACAAAGATGACCAATGCTCGGAAAATGACAACTACGAGTTGCGAGCGATTATCAATTCGGTGGGGAGATAGACGCGAGCTCCGAGTAGGCTGTTTAGCGGCTAAATTGCTGACAAATATAATTGACTCCGTTATCAACTCTTACGATCTGTAAATTACTCGCCGAACGAACGACTCTACTTAAAAGACGAGAAGACGGCATGTATGGTCACTCTTCCAATGCTTCGCGAATTCATTTCTGCTGTTCAGCCTTTTTCTTAGTAAACATCTTGTTTCACGTCAAAGTCGGCGCAATATGGCGCACTACATTACGACTCACGATGCCAATGGCACCGCAGTGTTCTCCCAAAAAGCTTTCGTCGCGCAAAACACAATGCCCATACCGATTGGTGATATCCAAATTATTTCTTCCAGCCATCATTTCCCTCTGAATCTCTCAAGTGAAACCGATATTGATCAGTATCAGCAAGACCGTACCAGTCCGTTTTTTCCAGGAGGTCGTCGTATATGCCCCGATGATGGCACTGCCACGTGCATAATATCAATGAAGGGTGGATCTGAGAGCGCAATGCACCGAACAATGACGGTCGATACTCTGGTGCTCATCGAAGGAGAGATGGAGATCACGCTGGACTCTGGAGAGACGCGAACTCTCAAAGCTGGCGACAGTCTTGTGCAGAGGGCAACGATGCATAAATGGAAGAATGTTACACCAAACGATGGGTTGGCAAGATGGGTCGTTTTCATCCAGGCTGCTGCTGAACCATTAAAGTTCGGGGATAAAATACTTGGACACGAATGGGCCCATTAAAGGCGTTTTAGAGGAGCGGACGCCTTGGAGGTTCAAGAAGAAGGCATACTGGCACATTGCGCAGTGTATTCAAAGCTCAGATAGCCATAAATGCGAAGCAGGGCCAGTTTAGGTCCACTGCCAACAAATACCTATAAAGACAACGCTCAGAGTACTAACAGGCCGCGTACAGTGCGCTGCATTTCTACAACTGGCTAGGAAGGCAGCCATAATCAACGATTGTCGGGATATATCCCTCTATCAGAACAAGCCAGCGTCTGATAGATCACATTTCTGTGTATGTAACCTTGCGCTAAGCTGCGGTTCCGGCTTATGGGATTCAGGGGTACTTCGAACCTGAGCCGGAACACACATTTTATCATACACGAATCAATCAACCTTTGCTTTAGAAGCATAAACTGTTCACTTAACTGTGTACACAGGACCTAGCTGGTGATACCAACACTGATCAGTGGTTGATTACAACCACAGAACAGCTCGGTTTACACGACCTGGAAGAGGCATTAACTACAAGGGAACGGGGAAACACCTTGCAGTACCCTCATTGTGAAAAATGTGCTAAAGGATATCAAAGTATCTCATTGGGAAACACTTACAGTACCTTTGAGACACGGAGGATTTCCAAAAGATCTACAGTTGAAACTGCAACGAAGATCTGCGTCTACCACGTGAACAACGCGTTAACGGGAAACACCTTGCAGTACCGTCACGACACGCAACCCATCACATTCATTTCGTTTATCTATTTCATTCACAAATACCGATTAAACAACCATACCAATTCTAGACAACCTCGGATACGCTATTGAGGAGGAGACATGGCAGAAATCCATCGATACACTCGACGAAAAGAACCAGACAGAGAAGATATTGAACGGATACATAACATGTACAATGCAGGCATGGAACACAATGCGCATCACCGACTGTGCCCTATGGAAAGACTTTCGTGAAGAATTCAACGGGTGGACCCTAGACACATTCAAGGTGGCGAACAAAACCGCACTGAAAGTGCTTCGACTTTACCTGACTACCCACAGAGTATAGATCAGAGTACGCATAGGAACATCCTACGTGAAGGGACTATACGACTGCCTCCAAGAGGTCACCCAGCACGAATGGACCAAAGAAGAGATCGAGGACCATCTGAAGGAGCACCCAGACAACTTCAACTCCAGATAGAACCCTGCACGCGACCGATCACCGACCGTCCGACCACACTCCCCAGCAGCACGAGCCACCTCGGTGAACCCACCAAATCCCCAAACCCCACAGGCCGATGTAGTAAAACCACACGGTAAACGAATCGACCAGAGATAGGAAGAATCCAGGTCCACAACTCTCGATATACTCGATACAGCCCATACAAATGATCATGTACAGCAACAAACCGACAACAGCAGATTCCAATAAAATCCCCAGGACATACCGTTACCGAGAATGGTTGAAGCAATAACGAGACAGTACAGTAATACGGACGACAAGTATGGCGGAGGACTGTACAACGACCTTGACACAAAATTGGTCAGGTTCTACGATGTCTATAAGAAGGTCGGCCTACAGAAGCATCAGTTCCACATTGCATTCTCACTTATGCTAAAAGGAAAGACGGAGAAATTTTACTTCACAAGGATCAAGGGAAAGGCAAGAGATTTTCCAACAATGGTAGGGATAATGAGGGCGCACTTTAACACAGAAGAAAACCGTCAAAGATCTATCTCTGAATAGAGAGAGACCACCTTTCCGAGAATCATTGCACAGAATCCAGAGAAATCACGCTCGGAGTGCCTCAAGATACTCTTCGAAACACTCGAGAAAATCCAGCCAGAATTGCCCCCAGAACACCGGTCGGAGACAACCCTACGGGAACAAACTATAAATACCTGCAGAGGTGTCGAGGAATGCAAATTCTCCATATACAGGCCAGCAAGCACCTTAGAAGGAGTACAAGCAGAACTACAATCAGCAGTTACCAATACAACTCTTTCACCACAGTCAGGGCAATTTCAAGCTCATAAGGAGTACAACATACACAATCAGCATTGGACTAACCACACATACGAAGAGAGAGGTCGTAGATATAGCCACAGAGGTTATAGCCAGCGCAGAGGAAGCTATAGATACAGTAATAACCGTAAACTCCCACCTTTTCGTGGATCAGGACCACAAAGAAGCTACCGTAGGAGTCGACAGGGCTATCAAGAATCCCGCCAAGGAAGATACTATATCTGTGGACGACAAGGATACTAGTCAAAATATCATACTGGAGAAGAACGAAAACGATCCCTCAACAACTTCCGCAAGCAACACTACTTCACGACAGATCAAACAGCCACCCCACAGGACTTCCAAACATTCATCAGCAACTTTGAAGGTACAGAGAAGATAGAAGGGCCGGATGACAGCAACTGGCATAACCCAACCCAAATACTCGCAGACATGACCATTAAGGATATTGAGTACAAGGGGTTTTTGACAGAACTCAGGGAAGTCGATGGAGCTAGAATAATATCTATCCTGAACGACCAATCAACATACCACTTCTTCACTAAGGACGACATTTTTCAGCAGCGACAAGCAGACGGACAGGCCATAGATGTGTTTACACTTAACAACCGGTATTCATCCGACACTTTCCAGGGCATCATACCAGATACTAGAGCCTCTGGGGTTTCGTCTGCTGGTGAACCTCAGTTCATAGCATTACGTAGGCTAGACCCCAAAGTCAGACTCAACACCTCCCGGGCTGGGGAACAGAAGATCAAATTCGGAGATAGGGATCCAAAACCCTCGTTAGGGACTATCAACGTCGATACCCCAATTAGCACTATTACGTTTCACGTCCTTCCTACGAACACACCATTTCTCTTCTACCTCAAGGACATAGATACTATAGGAGTGGAGCTCCGAAACAAGAAAAACGTGCTCAAACGAGGAGACAAGAGAGTACCTATCGTGCGTAAATGGGGACACCCATGGATGTTGCTACACAATCTAGAGGAGATAGCAGCATGGAGTCACCTCACCGAAACGGAGCTACGACAACTCCACCGACATTTTGGACACCCATCAGTCCGGAAACTGACGCGGATCCTTCAACGTACCGGGCACAAGGTTAATTCACAGTACATCGACTACCTCACGAAATTCTGCCACCATTACCAAATGAAAGGTAAGTCCCCCGGACAATTCAAGTTTACCCTGAAAGACGACTATAAGTTTAACTACTCAGTTATCATCGACATTCTATACCTCAAAGGAAAACCCATTTTACAAGTTATTGATACAGCCACATCATTTGGTACTACTAGATTCCTGAGAGACATGTCAGTACGTAATGCTTAGGACACGCTTTGCACATACTAGATCGATACCTACCAGGGACCACCGGACTACCTTATACACAATGCTGGGAAGAACTTCACATCAACAGAGTTCAAGCAGCTTGTATCGTCAATGTCGATCAAGGTTAAGGAGGTCCCTGCGGAAGCTCATAATAGCGTAGGGAAAGTGGAAAGATACCACGCACCATTACACCGTGCCTACGAGATTCTCAGGGAAGAGCTCAAGAACAAGAACATTGACAGGGAAATGATCCTGCAGATAGCTGTAAAAGCTATCAACAACTCAGCCGGACCAGATAGAATCATCCCAACCCTACTTGTCTTCGGGGCATACCCGAGAATAACTAAAATAGATCCACCATCACCTTCGGTAGTCAAGAGAGCTAAGACGATCCGCACTACAACTAAAGAGGTCCGTCGCCTATATACAGAACGCCAGGTGAATAACACTCTTGCCATACGCAACGGCCCTAATACCACCACCACATTAAGCCTCCCATTACAATCAGATATTCGAGTCTGGCACGAGAAAGGTAGATGGAAGGGCCCATACAAGCTTTTAGCAGTAGATGGAGAGACTTACACTGTGGATATGCCACATGGTCCTACGAAATTCCGATCAACTATTGTCAAGCCCTACTACAGGGAAGAACACCTAGAAGAAGAGGGAGAACAACAACACATTAGTGCAGAGAGCCAAGTAGATGAACCTATTGATACGAAACACACAGACGAGCCTAATAAAATGGTCAAGACCCAACGACAAGGACGAGAACGACCACCAGGATCGAAGAACAAACCGAAGCCACAGATAACCGTGCGGCGGAGCACTCGACGAAATACTGCTGATTACCAAGATCTTAAGGACCAGTTCATCAATGCCATCCAGGAAGAACAAGATATTTCAATGGCACTCATGACAAACAAAGAACGAGCCGACATAGAACTCTCTATCAAGTTGAGGAATGAAGGTGTTATCACAACCCCTAGATTGCCATTCAATCAATCTCGGAACGAGGAGATTGAAGGACTGATAGCCAGAGGCGTGTTCGACTTCGTACAATATGACATAATAAGGCACGCTGGCGTACGCATCTTCAATTCGCGATTAGTCAATAAGATCAAAGGAAGGGCTACGGGTACACCTTTCGAGAAGTCACGACTCGTTATCCAGGCCTACAATGACGAAGGAAAGGAGATGATTCTCACTCAATCCCCGACCATTCAGCGAGCTAGCCAACGTATCATCGTTGCACTAACCCCGTCACTAAGCAAAAGGAACATCTGCCTATCGATCCGGGACATCACACAGGCATATGTCCAATCAATAACCTCATTGAACCGACTGATTCTGGCGCATCTCCCCAAGGAGATCAAGAGCAAGTTCCCAGAAGGCACAATTATAGTAGTACGGAAACCGTTATACGGGATCCCTGAAGCCGGAACCCATTAGTGGGCAACGTACCACAAGCATCACCGGGAAAGGCTTAAAATGGTCACATCTACCTATAACCCATGTCTTTTAATCTCAACAGCAAAGACAGTCTTTGGCGTTATCGGAATACAGACCGATGACACCCTGATCTTAGGGTCCGATGAGTTTGCCACGCTCGAAGAGAAAGAATTAGCAGAGGCAAAGTTCAGCGCCAAACCCAAGGATACACTATCTCCAGGGAGCCCACTAATATTCAATGGCTGTGTCCTCACACAGAAGGAAGGAGATGTTACAGTTGAGTTACGCCAGAAGGACCAGGGTAAGAGACTCAAGCCTATCAACCACAAATCCAAGGACTTCAAACACACATACATAGAACAACATACTCGCGGAGCTTACATTACAACAATCTGCCAGCCGGAGGCTACATTCGACCTATCCATTGCCGCCCAACACCAGGATCCTGCAGAAGCCGACGTTAACACGTTGAACAAACGTGTTATGTGGCAAATAACAAATCTGGACAGAGGCATCAAATACATCACAATAGATCTATTAACTGTAAAACTCTTCGTATTCGTCGATAGATCATTCACAAACAACAAAGATTTCAGCTCCCAGATTGGATATAAGATTATCCTCGCAAACGAATCCGCTCAGAATAAGGAATTTGAGATCACCAGAAACCTAATCCATTAGAGCTCAACCAAGAGTAAACAAGTTACTAGGAGCGTCCTGGCATCGGAGATCTACAGGATAGTAGGAGATATCGATATGGCAATTGCAATCAGCACAACAATCAAGATGATCATAGACCAACTTAGCTTTGGAAAGATCCCTACCATCATATACACGGATTCATACTCTCTATATAAATGCCTCGTTAAACTCGGGACCACCAAGGAGAAGCATCTCATGATCGAAATCATGGCACTTCACCAGTCATACAAGCGAAGAGAGATAATAGAAATAAGGTGGATCAACGGGAGCAACAACCCAGCAGATACAATGACCAAAGCAGAACCCAACAAGGCCTTGGAGAAGTTTATCACCACAAACACCTTACGAGTACGAGTTAAGGGATAGGTGGAGAGAAAATAAAATGGTATGGCGAGATCTACGTGCGCAAGGAGGCACAGTGATCGGAGTTTTTCTTTTTCGTTCGTTCATTTCCTACTTGAGGGCACTGGTCCCTTTGCACAAAAGAAAAGTTGCCAGTGTCGGGATATATCCCTCTATCAGAACAAGCCGGCGTCTGATAGATCACATTTCTGTGTATGTAACCTTGCGCTAAGCTGCGGTTCCGGCTTATGGGATTCAGGGGTACTTCGAACCTGAGCCGGAACACACATTTTATCATACACGAATCAATCAACCTTTGCTTTAGAAGCATAAACTGTTCACTTAACTGTGTACACAGGACCTAGCTGGTGATACCAACAATATATTTACTATACCCTCTAAGGGTGGTAACCATTCGTGTCTTGTTCAGATCCCGATGTGGGAGAGCTTCCGCGACCTCCTTTATCGTAACCCTAACCATCGGTTTACTGAAGATCTCCTCAAAGCTGGTCTTATACAAATATTTCTTGCACTTGACTACCTACACACTGAATGCAAGCTTGTCCAAACAGGTAATACATATCCATAAGGCTTTGTCAAAATGCGTTACCCTAACCTACATTCCTATAGACATTAAAAGCGATAATATTCTCCAGGAAATAGAAGACAAGTCCATCCTTGAAAGTTTTACCCAAGCTGAGCTGAAAAGCCCTTCACCCCGCAAAACCGTCAATGATTTGCCGATCTACGCGTCGCGACGGTTTGACCTGCCGAAGGTATTTGGCCGAGCAGTTTTAAGTGATTTTGGCTCTGCTGTACAAGGAGTCGAGAGGAGGAACCACGATGCACAGCCAAATATTTACAGATCACCGGAAGTAATGCTGAAGACTGACTGGAGCTACCCGGTTGATATATGGAATGTCGGTGCCATGGTATGCTCTTCCTATTCACTCCTCTCTCTCATCATCAGGACTAACCGCTTAGGAATAATAGGTGTGGGATTTGTTTGAGGGGAGACATCTTTTCTACGGAAATGACCCTGATGGCAAAGGGTATTCGACTCGGGCGCACCTTGCAGAAGTTATGGGTTTTCTAGGGCCACCTCCTTTAGATATGCTCCAACGTGGGAAACGAAGCCATGAATTCTTTACAAGCGATGGTAAGTATTATTTTCCTGCTCAGTGTACTTAGCAAAGGCTTACGAAGACATTCTTACAGGGAAATGGAAACAGGACATAGAAATTCCGACGGGGGTCAGTCTGGAGCTGTCGGAAGAGTTCCTCGACGGAAAAAATAAGGAGATGTTTATAGCTTTTATGAGAGGGATGCTTCAGTGGCGACCTGAAGATAGGAAGACAGCGAAGGAGCTACTTCAGGACCCATGGCTGAATGATTAGTCAGAGAAGCTTGGTTTTCTGCTTTATCGTTTATCGTAGAACGTGCTCCATTAAATAAGATCTGTCATTCTGAAAGTACGAAAGTAGCAATCCCCAACAGGAATACAATTCTAGAACTTCAATTGATTCCCCAAAGATGCTGTTGTAAGCTCTATGGCACAGAAAAAAAGTCAAACAATAAGCATGATCTTCAGCCATATGCGATAGGATGGTTCGGGTTGTTCGGATTGACCTCAACCCGATCTAGAGAGAGTAACCTTCGCGGATTGTCCCACATGTCATTCGAGCGATGATAGGAACAAATAACAAATAAAAGCTTCCCAGGGCCTTCATCGTCCCTAGAACCCATTGTGCCGCTCCAAGGAGCTCCGTCGGCGTTTGTGAGGTTATCACGTATCTGTTGATGAGGAGCGTGTCTTTTCAATGAAGTATCATATTAACAAAAGGTATAGTCGACTCAAGATACAAGACGTAGCGCGAAGAAGCAAAGAAAAGATAGCTTCTTCGCGTTCAGGGGAGCCCAGATGTGCCATGTAGGTCCGCGTCCTCGGCTTAGCGTGTATGCCTCATGTACATCCCTGGCAGATTGGCTCATTATTCCTAGGCAGATATCATGCTATTAGTAGTATCCAGTTATCGCATCAGTATTTATCACCCGCAGGCTCCTGGGAGCCAAGACCATATATTGACCAATCATTTCATTAAAGACGGGGCATTTGGGCTATCTATGGCGCTGATTGACTGGTTTTTCCGCACCATTCCGAATCCACTCCGTTTTCAGAAGATTGATGTGGGTGATAAGTTAATGCCTTTGCAAAGACGGGGCTGATCGCAGAGGTTTGATCTACGAAAATGTAATTGACCTAATATCTGACCAACTATATAAGGGACTCTGTTGTAATGGGGCTGTGTGAATCAATCCGCGCCGTACTGTAGCTTGTATCTACCTGATATTGTGTAGGTGTGCATCCTTTTCTCGAATATACGAGTTAGGTACTGAGAAACATGCCTTTTGAATGGTAGAGATCTAGGGTTGCAATATGGCATGGTGTTTGCCTGTCTTTGATGAGGTGTTCATTGGGTAGGGTGTCGTTCTCATCATTGGTGGGTGAAATGAAATGGTGTGATATGTCGCCGCCTCACCTGTTACAATAATTTACGAGCCCATGGTGGTGAATGTTGAAACGGTTCATCGATGCTTTCTGCGGCATGCTCACAATCGTTTAAAAGATGCCAACAGTGATAAAAGGAATTGCATATATCGAGTCGCCAGGAAAAATGCGATGTCTTCGAATGTTGTGTTCAAATGGTGTGTCAGATAAATAACCATGTGTTTAACTGGCTGCAATTTAAGAGTAGTTTGTGTTTAAGCCCTCACAATTGATGATGATGATCTCATTCACGCAGACTGAATACCTGGCCGAAATGCTATAAATACCAGACTCGTCACCAGCAGAACCGCCGTTCGCAAGCATTCCTTTGTGATTTGGATCAAAGAATGTCGATCATGATTCGTCTCCGCGGCTACTCTTTGGTATGGATTGACCTCCAAATCATACAATGAAATAAACTGACCTTTTTTATCGCAATGGCCTGGCCTTTCTCAATAACGAAGTCTTCAGACAGCAAGTGAGTGTCATTTCCCAGTCATTTAGAGCGTTGCTAAATCGGAAGACGCTCGATATCAGCCCCGTTTCCGCTACTTCTCAAATAACCCATGGAGCGAACCTTTCTGGATCCCGAATACCCCAAGCCGCGAGCAAAGTGAGTTACAAGTTGCCTTCCTGAGTTACCTACTGATGATTGATGATAAATAGATGCCATCCTTTATACAGTCTCCTGCAGCGGACAACGATATCTGAGAACGTGAGTTTCGAACTTTGCAGCAAGTTTTAAGGCAGATGTCATGTGCTGACAGCCCTCTATATAGGTCAGCAAATTTTCTATCGCGAGTCGCTCAATGTCTTGTAAGTCATGCTAGTGCTTTGCTCCTACTCCATCCCCAACCCCCCGTACTACATTCCAATATCCATACGATTGCTATCCGTTCGTGGCTCTCTGTTCCTCAGCAAATATCGCTGATGAGTTTTTCTCGTTATAGGGCGCGCGTCAAAATGCCCTCGGCCTGACAGAGATATGCCCCCCCCCCCCCGGCGTCTTCGAAACCAAACCAGCTTTAACAACCTGATGGGCCAAGCCATGGAATATTACAACACTCGCGCCTTTGTTACTTCTGAACACGTGGTTGAAATGGCCAATTCAACCGGCGTATCTAACCAGTCTAATTCAGAAAGGCGTTATGCCCTCTGCTTAGCCATACGGTAGCATTCCACAAAGTGGTTCATCCCTTCAGCATTACCCTTTCCGATCAAAGGCTAACTGTCAATTTGTTAAGAATTTGCCATATTCTGAAGGCTACAAATCTCTTGCCGACCTCCGATCTAAAGCCTCATCGGCAGCCATGACCTAGTTCCACACTAGGCTAAGTAAGCCATCGCAGCATCCGACGTCACGAAAGAGAAATCTAGCATCGACGGCCATCGAAAAAGACCGTTGTTTCTTTTCTCCTAGTGTAAAACCAACCAGCAATGAATCGAGCTTTTGACCAGCTCTGCCAAGCCCTAATTGCAGCTCAGCAAGCGCCACGCCAGGTCGCAGCACTGGATCTATCCCAGATCTCTACCCATGGGAGCAGTCACTTTCAGGTCAGCTACTACTCACCTCAGACCAAATACCATGAGCCCCTCCTTCGGTGGAACTTTGTCCTGAAATTTTTGAAGATTTATTACTCACACGAAAAGCAGAGACAAAGCAGCTATGCATTGGGAGACATTGCCAATATTCATTTTCAGGGATACGAAATGATCCTGGGCCCTCCACATATAATCGAACTGGGCCCGCTACATCTCTGGCTGGCTTTCGCCGATAGCAAACTACATTGACGGCAAGCACCACTCTCAGGTCATGTGGAGAAGCAGTGAAACGCAGTACTGCTTCGGCGGTCCCTACAAGTCCGATCGGGATAGTGTATTGCGGTTGATATTGAGATTCTCATATAGACTACGAGCACGGCCAGTTGCGAACACTCATCTTGCGTTTGTTGCTGAAAATTGGTACGAGATCGAGTATAATCCGACGGCAATCTTTTTGCCTGTGGCCAATGCAGATCAACATCAAAGTGCTCACCTGTGTGTGTACCCAATTGATCACGTGGACAGATTGGGCCATTGCGTGTGTCACGTTGCCTTGCAGGAGATCAGTTTATCACGCTTATTCGAGAAATATTCGGACGCGGCGGAATGACTTTTACCTTGAATTTTTTTTCCTCATCCTGTCATGGCCTGGGCTGTACAAAGTAAGGCCAAAATATTCTGTCAGGATGAGGAATTGAGGTACTGGCTAGTACTGAACATGTCCAATAGAATCAGATGATTGATTGAAGGTGTATGAGAGCGGTTGAACGCCCTCGAGAGTCTGTATCATGCCAATGCGGTGTGTTACGACACCATAACTCCGAGTCTATCCCGAATACCATACGAATACTAGGGGAATTGAGCGGATGATGAACATCCTATCCCAAAAGGTATTAGTGGTATTTAACCACTCCTTCAAATCGACACAAAGGCCTAAAGTTAGAAACCTGGAGCTCCTAGAAGGTAGGGATGGTGTAATTTCGAAATTGGCCAACCCATTTCGAAATGATTTCAAGATCTCAATTTCAATTTCAGTTTTGATCTGCAAAATTTACACCTAATGAAGTTAATTTTACCTAATTAGGCTAGCTTCAATTTCAATTTCAAAAATCTCATTTCAATTTCAGCCAAAATTTGTGAAATTTCGTACACTTGAAATTTCGGCAAGCATCCCTACTAGAAGCCTTCTAGTAGAAGGTTCCCACGCAAACGTAACAAACACCGCAAACAAAGCAACATCTGAACTGGCAAAGTGTCAACTTCTCCCTGTTGCATCTTGCTGTTGCTTCACTTCAGCGCTTGATGCTTCCCGGGAGTCCATGTGGGATCAAAGTGATAGGCAAGTCTCAATAGTAAGGTTTCGGGATCTCCACCATTGCTTATCATCATGCTGACGCTTCAAATATTATTGGATACCAGGGATTACTAGCTAACGCCTTACAGCACTCCTCAGGTCACACCACTACAAAGATATCCAAGATGACCAATAGCATTTTGATGACGATGCCTATCAAACCCAGATGGCCGAGCGCTGGGACGGAAATTCGGATTATGCGCCTACACCTGTCAATTTCGCTCGCACGCCCGCCACCGTGTACTCTCCTAGCCCTGCGCCTAAATGTGCCATGGACCAACTGCAGCCCCGATTATCTTGATTTTACTCCACAGTACCTGGTCATGTTAGCAGGTTGCAAGATGCAGGTCTAAGAGCGTCCGCTTACTTGCGCCAGCGTTGCTCGATCCGAACCCGATGGACCATGGTTTGGTCGGAACGCCCGTAGTCCAGAGGTACAGTACACTCCTGTAGTGTACTGCTACGCATAGTTGCAGATCCCCCCCAATTGCTCAGCCACAAACTCGAACCGCCCCCATCTTGTGGAGACAGTGATCTCCACCGAGGCTGATTACAGAGCTGTTGATTGGATAGAAATGCTTAACCAAGTGCAAATTGCTGCCCTTTGCGTAGTTTTCACGCTACAACTCGATTACCCGATCTGGTTACTCTATTTAGTCATTATACAGCTCGCCTACCTCAACCTATCCGGCTGTCGGCATCGAGGCCAGCGTCAACAAGGCCGAGGCTAAGACGGGGGAGAAGGGGAATGAAGGGGGAAACCGAGGCGAGTTTCATAAATGGCACTCCGTACTCAACAGTAGGATTCGACCCTGGCTCCAAGGGTCGCTTGATTCACGAAGGACTTACCCTGGAGGGTCAGGTACGCTCAGTGACTCACCTAGGGCAAAAGAAAGGCTTTTCAGCCCCTTTGGTCCACTCGTTTCTCCCTGTTTTTCCCCGTGGAGGATGTGGAGGGTCGGGCGAGATTCCTTTTTCGGGAGCCGAAGTGATCCACCGTCAAGGATTAGACAATGATCCTAAGCAGTACGCGGTCATCTATGTAGTATTCTATTTGATTAATTTGATCCATATGACTAATCCTTAGTTGATTCGATCTATTCCATTAGGATGACTCCTTCGCGCCCATGTAGAAAGAACAGGCCTAACTTGCCATCGGTTACTCCGAATCTCCCCCGGACTTCCAGCCCTACCCCTACCATCCGCCACGAACGGGTGGTTCTCCTGGGCAAGAGATTCTTCTCCTGGGCAGGAGCTTCTTCGCCCTTGGCAACGGGCCAATCCTCGGCGGCTGAAGCCGAAAAAGTCCTAGCCGGGGAAAGTTTAACCGCGGCGGCGACTTGGGCACTGTAGGCAGGCAAGTATGGCGACCTGCCGTGGGGGCCGAGGGCTTGTGAGTGGACCAGCAGCGTAAGGAGGGACAAGTCTCGCGGGCTGCCGAGAGGGCCGAAGATGGTCAAACGCCTCATTCATGCGAAGTGGAGTCATGGTAGCGCTTGGCGGGATCAACCGATGGAGACCAGTGGGGCCGGGCCTGATGCCCGCAGACGCAGGAAGCAGACCTATACATCTGAAAAGGGTACAAAGGCGTTGCAAACCCCCAGATTCTGTGTCTATTCTTTCTATGTTGTTTCACTATCTCCTTACCCTCCCTCATTTATTAGAGGCACTCATCATATCAACATGTGGACAACTACCTCCGGCTTTACGGGCAGAAAGCTTCGTCTTGCCATCACTATCACCGCCGTTACTGGTTTCTCCCTTTTCGGTTACGATCAGGGTCTCATGTCCGGTCTGATCAACGGTAATGAGTTCACGAAAGAGTTCACTACTCTCGAGATCCCTAAGGGTGCGAGCGAATCATACCAGAACCAGATCAACGTCTACCGTGGTGCCGTTACTGCTTGTTATGAGATTGGATGTTTATTCGGTGCTATTTTTACTCTCTTCTTCGGTGGGAAGACCGGCCGTACTCCCTTGGTATTTGCTGGTGGTATCTTCATGACCGTCGGTGCTTTGATTTCAACCGTTTCTTACAATCACGCCTGGGGTCTCGGCCAGTTCGTTGTCGGTCGTGTTGTTTCGGGTGTGGGTAATGGCATGGTCACGGCCAACGTCCCTGTCTGGCAATCCGAGTGCTCCAAAGCCCACAACCGTGGTTTCCTCGTCTGCTTCGAGGGTGCTATTATCGCCGTCGGTACTTTCATCGCCTACTGGGTTGATTTCGGTATGTCCTTCGTGAACAGCTCCGCCCAGTGGCGGTTCCCTGTCGCCTTGCAGATCGTTTTCGCCATCGTTGTGAGCATAGGCGCTCTGATGGTGCCTGATTCCCCTCGCTGGTTCCTCATGAGAGGGCGCGAGCAAGATGCCATCGATGTTCTGGCCAAGCTCAACGGTGCTACCACCGACGATGACCAGGTTTTGGCCGAGTTCAACCTCATGAAGGCGGACCTGAAGTCCTCTGCCCACTCCAAGGGCAGCTGGAAGACGCTTTTCACCTTTGGCAAGACTCAAGAATTCCAGCGCATGATTCTCGGTTGCTCCGGTCAGTTCTTCCAGCAGTTAACTGGCTGTAACGCTGCCATCTACTACTCTACGGTGCTTTTCGAGGATAACCTCGGGCTCGATCACCAGCTATCCATGATTATGGGAGGAATCTTCGCTACCGTCTACGCCCTCGCCACGATCCCCTCGTTCTTTATGATTGAGAAGGTTGGCCGCCGTAAGCTGTACCTGATTGGTTTTATGGGCCAGGGTCTCAGTTTTATCATTACCATGGCCTGCTTGATCAAACCTACGGATATGAACGCTAATGGTGCTGCCGTCGGTATCTACGTCTATATTGTATTCTTTGCCTTTACCATCCTACCTCTCCCCTGGATCTACCCGCCGGAGATCAACCCCCTCCGTACCCGTACCATGGCTAACGCCGCCGCGACCTGCGTTAACTGGGTCACTAATTTCGCCGTCGTCATGTTTACGCCTGTTTTCTCTAGTAGGAGTGCGTGGGGTCTCTATCTCTTCTTTGCCCTATTTAACTTCATCGCTTTTGTCTTCGGATGGTTCTTCTACGTTGAGACTGCCGGTCGTGATCTTGAGGAGATCGACATCATCTTTGCAAAGGCGCACGTCGAGAAGAAGTGGCCTTTTGTCGTCGCCAACGAGCTGCCCAAGCTCAACGTTGAGCAGATCGCTCAGATGACCGCCGAGCTCGGCTTGGACAATCCTTTGGCAACCAGCTCCGGCCCTCATGAGAAGGCCGAGATGGCGTCTAGCAGTGATGAAGGCCAGAGCAGATATGCGGCCCAGGAGAAGCAAGCTGCTACTTAATTGGTTTTTTGATGTTGTATAAAGGAGATGATGGGGCACCAGAGTTGCTCATCGTTACTGAGGTACCTACTGTTAGTTGAAGGGTACATTTCGAGAAAGCATGCCATCCATTTTCTAATTTATTTTGACTGCGGTCAGTACATATCCTGTATCTAAGACTGATAGATCTCTTTCTAATTTTATTTTCCCTAGATGTACAGCATGGTTGATTAGTCGAATAATAGCCTGTGTTACAATAGTTGGCGTAAATTTTCCAACACGGAACGTTGATATCAGCAGGAAGTCTAGCACGATATTGATCAAAAGCTTGCTCGCGCTGATTATCAAAGGAACGTCCGGGTTATCCAGCGCTCCCACCGAACAGTGTGTAACAATCGAGATCAGACACTGTTTCCCTTTCTTAGGGTTTTGCGGCTCGCTGGCTTCCCTCCTAGCTTAACTCCGGGCCCACGACCCTTCCTCTTGTCCTTTTTCTTCTCTCACTATGCTAAGTATCGCTTATTGAATGCCATTATTTCCCAATAACCAGGCGCTCATTACCATGATATATATACTATTAGAGTTATCCCGGATCGTCAAAAGGAAGTGCTATACCCGCGGCCCACCTCAAACCTTTTACGAGTGATGACATTAGATATCCTCATGTGACTGCTGTATTACAAAATGAATCGGTTTCTCTATTTTAATGAAATGGGATCAAGCTCATTGCATCGTATCAATCTTGCTGCTTACCACAAAGTCACGTAGATCGATATTGCCTCTTCGTTAGCCCGTTAGGATCCGGGAGCCTCCAGGAGCTACTGGTACCATATTTCGAGGGGTCAAACCAATAATGGGAACAAAGAGCATGATGCCGAGCAGCAAATTCGAGCCCTGATACCCCAAAATACCGAAAAAGCTCTAACGCCCAAAGAAATCGTTCCCAATCCCTAGCTTGACTGAATACTCGTGTTGCCTGAATTGCAGGAAAGATGCAATATAAAAGAGCCCATAAATTCATTCCCTCTTGCGCACAGTACGGAAGACATCAGACTGCTTTACTGATGTTGAATGCGGAAAGTTGATGTGCCACATTCTGGGGAGATTGATCGTCAATGCGCAGAAGCTCTGGGATGTCATCAGTCCGACTCTCTGTTACAGCATAAGCCTGGCAGATGATTGGATATAGAAGAGACAGGGAAGTCCAAAGAATCATATGCAAATTAGCTTCGCCAACTGAAAGGAATCTGGAGGCGGGACCAAATAACTCATCTGTGGCAGGAAACCCTGTTTTTATTTCTCCAGACATATATGTAGGAGGATCTTCGCCATTCCCACTGATCTTGGCATAGAATTGCAGATGACGCCTTTCCAATACCAGGCAATCATGTAGCAGCAATTGACGGGCTTGATGATCAAGAGATTTATTTACGTCGGCGCTATCGACAGCAGCAGCAAGACACGACATATCTGTAAGGAGCTGAATCAATTCGTATAGCAGTCCTTCACCAGGCTCTTTGAGCCACCGAACTATAGGCTCAGAGAGAGATGCACAAGTCTTGAGAAAAGCTAGATATGCTTATAATTAGATATACAGATATACTTATAGCGAAAGGATTCTCTTACCACTCTAAGCTTTTGATGTTGACCATAGATTATAGCCATAATGGGAGAGTCACCCTTTCTAGGGGAGTATAGTCTGATAATTGCGCTTAGTCCATTTAGAAAGCTGCAACCAAAAGATTTATGGAAGATGCTGGATATAGGTTAGGTGCAGAAAACCAACGGCAGTACCGGATCTTTTGGAGGAATCTTCTCAAGATGCGTGAAGCTGGTATCGAAAAAGCCCTATATTACCGCACCAAGGAGTTTGACAGCTACTGCAAAGGATATCCCAAAACGTCGGAAACATCTCTTGTGGATACAATCAAGAAGTGGGAGGTTCAATATAGACCTCATATCGAACAGCTAGAAACGCGGATTCTCAGGCTCGGGAAAGATGACCTGATGCGCGTATCCGATCTTGACAATCCCCAAGTTTCTGAGAGGCTGAAAATTCAGGAGTCCTGTTGGAACTGTGCCAGAAATGAATGGGCCTTCCCCAACGAGGAAGAAAGCTTCAAGGGACTTGGCTTGCAGACTTTCTCTCCTGATATGGAATGCGTACCCTACGATAACCAATTAGTGTCAGAATCTGGTGGAGATAAATCCGCATTCATCTTCCTCTTGCCTAAAGACGACAGCTCTTTGCTCGTCTGTTCCATCGTTCCCGTGCGCGAGGGAGAATTTTTAGGTGTTTTCGCTGGTAAGATTCGTTTCTCGGAAATCTGGAGTCCCACACACGGTATTCGCGGTCCTGTTGACAATCTGTGGCTCGACTATTCACAAGTCACTGGCACGCTGAACCAAATGCTCGTCTCCGAACCTGGTGGTTCCGCAAATGTTCGGACCCATTGGGAATTAATCAATGATGATGTTGACCCAGAAAGCTGCGCCTCATGGAGAGTTTCTGTAAAAGCCACTAAGTCCATAGTGCCGTTCGAACATCTCGTTCGTCAGGCTGCTCAGCAAGAGCAATATGTGTTGCACTTATGTCCTGAGTATGCAAAGAGAGGCTTTCTCGAAATTTGCGAAACTGACTGAAACTACGTTGGACATCTTTGTTGCTACTTATAATCGGACACCGCAGATTTCATTCAGGTAACGCGCGACCTCGATCAAGCAGTCTATTTTGTCAACACCAGTATGCCTGCCCTCTCAAGGTGCCTTTTGTTGATGCCTTTTGTCATAGCCCCCACTGAGGCATCTGGGATCTGTATACAGGTCGGGAAATGTTCCAATGGGCGGAATATTCCAGGTTTGGAATTTTCTCCCAGGTGAAACTTGGATAACGGAATATATTTGGCTTCTATAATTTTTCATGATAAAAGTAAACCCATCACCCCAAAAATAAATATAAAAGAGATTATGCTATTGAATCATTTTCACCGGTAAAAATGTCTGTCTCCTGAGAATGTTTGTAGTAAGACTTCCCCTCCTAATGATACCCAAGCCCTCAAAACCAAACCTGTCAAACAATACCTAGCAATTCATACTAGTGACGCTTCCGAGGAGCGAAACTTTGCGGTCCTACGAACCACTGTGAGGGTCTCACGTATCTGTTGATGAGTAGCGTGTCTTTCGGATGAATAATCAATATTAAAGAAAGCTATAGTCGACTCTAGATACAAGACGTAGCGCGAGGAAGCAAGAGAAAGATAGCTTACTCGCGTTCAGGGGAACCCAGATGCGCCATGTGGGTCCGTGTCCTCCGCTTAGCGTGTATGCCTCATGTATATCCCTGACATGGCTAGTGATAGCATCCGAGGAGCCCACGCTGCGGTCCTAGGAATAACGTACTGTATTGCCTTCCGAAAATGATAGCTTTTTGCGCCAGAAATGGCTGTCACCATCGATGGTCATAACTAGTCGGATTTGTGGAGCAACCCTTTACCGAGAAATCATCCAATGTCGCGACGTCTTCTGCAACGGAATTAGCGTTAGGCTTTGTATTCTGCCCAGAACCGAGCTAGAACAGCCTCCTTCTAGCCATGATGACGAATACTCTTGTTTCGTTTCAGCGCTTTTTTTCCTTTTTTTCTTTGGCTGTAGAACTTGCTTATACGGAAGAGTTCGCAGTGAAGCAGGAAAATGGAGGTCTATATCTTTTTTTAGGTTTTCTTGGCACAGATTTTAAATGAGAGAGAAACGCAGTCACTAGAGCGGAAGTGGTGGGGTGCACCAAGCTTTTTTGTTATGCTATCCAAAGACGCAACTTGTCGAGTTTGTGATGTGGGGTATTGAAGCCGAAAGCCGAAAGCCGAAAGCCGAAAGCCTAAAACTGATCTCGCTTCCGGAATAATGCTGGGACCTTTGTCAGCCTGTAACACATCTAAGCGTCATCAATTGTTCAAATGGCAGGGACTTCAAAGGCATATAAGTCTCAGTTCAACCCCTGGCAACCGCTGGTTCAAAATTCCTCGGCATCGCTTAATACTTTCCAAGATGGCTACCTCAACCAAAATTTGGATCACACCGGAGAATACTGGAGTATTCTGTACTGCGAACTTGAGCTTGGCGTCCGCGCGCAAAGTGAGCGAGGTTCTTCAGCATGATATGGAAAACCACCATATCTATCTCAATGAGATTCAGTTTCACGGTAAATTTTCAATCTTTTCCTATCACAGCGGCAGCCGTAATTAACGGACAAAAAGATCATATTGTGCATTTTATGCTCACAATCTGGGCTCTCGGGGCGTCTCCCGAGACGATACAGCTACAATATGAGCGAGAGGTTAAGCGTCAGCGGCCCGCTTATCCGCGGGACGAGAAGGTCGTCGCGTCTTTTTCTGACAAAGACGAATTCATGAAGTACATGTTCCAAGAGGAACATTACTCCAACTACCTTGCCTTTTTCCAACGTGAGATTGCTGCTAAGGGTGTTCCGGCTGTCATGAAGGATTACCTGTTTGGTGGTGATAAGCTCGCTGAATCATTGCTTTCCCGAATGTTTGCAGGTCTTGTCCATCCAATTATCCATCTTGGCTTCGGTATCGAGTTTCAGCAGCCTGCGATCATTGCGCAAGCTCTTGCACAGGCCTCAGTTCATCAAGACTATTTGAGTGATCAATTCTTTGATCTTGCTTCAACTGCTGCGGCAGCCAGCTCATATTCCGCAAAGTCTCTCATGCAAATAATGAAAGAGATGCGCGCCGACGAAACGGTCAGGAATGCGTCTAGGCACGGAGACACAGATGTTTTTGAAGATGGGATCCTCAAGCGGGCGAGCGAAACGATCATTCACCATTGTAGCAAGTGGTCTGTACCAGAGGACAAGATACCGGAAAGGCTTGCGGAAATGATCAACACGGCGAGTATGTCCCTCCGCACTTTGGTTCAAACCCAAACATCTCTTTCTGACACCTCCACACAGTCTATTGGACCGCCACGGCCCAGAACCCGGAAAAGAAGTTAAAGCTGGATTTTTTCTTCATTCATACTGTCAATCTCTCCATTTTCTTCAAGGCATTCATGGAACTACCATACATTGAAACCCCTGTGAAGAGCCGGCTTTTGGAAATGAAAGGTCGAATGGATCTTTTGATCTGGGCATCTCGAAAGATGCCAGAGCCACAGGTCGACGACATCTTAAACTACCCAATCCATTTGGGCTGGCCCGAAGTCTTTTCAAAGAGTTATCTTCATCCTTCAGATGATGGTCACCTAGCGAAGTTTGTTCGTACCGTCGCTTTTGCCGAAAAGTTAAGTCATTCTTATGAGACAAAGCTTGACAGTGATATCTTTCCAGTCTCTGGAGATATGTGGCTGAAGATAGGGAATATGGGTAAGTGGTGCCGATGGTCCCCTGGGTAGAAGCCTTTCTGATTTGAAAATTCCCTTAGCCGTTGATACTGCAGGTGTTATCTTCAGTGATATCTGGGTTCGAGGGGCCGGATTTGCCGAGCCTTGGGCCAAATTTGGACCTCGGAGATAGACCACAAATTACCAGCGATCCAGGAAACTATTGGTAACGAGATGCGGTGCTCTACTTCTATTTTTCATGATACAATTATGTAAACTAGTATATGCCTTTAGTAATATATACTGGTATGTAGATATCAAAGTTTTCATTTACTAGCGTAGTATCTGGGGTTATCCGATTCAGGATCAAATGCACTTACTTCAGGCGCAAGCAGCATATCGCATCTTCAATAGGACCGAGATGGATCGTCCATCACTCGCGGACTTGGAGAGTTTCCTAGGTAATTCCCCATCCTGTCAAATGCCTCGGAGAACATCTGCTGCTATGTGTCATGCTTTTTGGGCGCCCACGCCGGATTGTGTACTCCTTTGTCGAATGCCATTTGTTCTTCCGGTGGTTAACGGCTGGATAGAGAATCCTCGATTTAACAAACATGCCGATAGTACCATTCTACAAGTTGTTTTGTCTTCTTCGAGGATTTGATCGCATGTTAGATTAGCGTCACCCAAACTGAACTGATCGGCCACCCCCATCTTGAGGATAACCAGAGCTTTCAATACCCTTGGCTGCAGATCTAGATGGAGTCATTCGCCTGGGTCACCAATCCAAAAAAAGCAAGTTGTCGGCTAATCCTCGCCCGCTGACTGGACAGACCGTACGATTCTCCACTATTTTATCGCGGTCGGTGGCAAGGAGACAGTAAGTCGAAATCACCGAGTATAATTCTAGAAATTGTCTTTTCACGGAAATCCTTTACAGTTATAATGAAGAAGTCAGCAAATGAAGCATTTGGGTTAACCTACTTATTGTACATCGGGTGAAGCGCTTCAATCCTTGATTAAGATTCTAACTCTTTGGCCTTTCCATCGTGAGGGCGAGTTGAGTAGTGAACGAGGACCAATATTTACGAAGTGTTCTTTTATTTCCGCGATGGTTTTCTCTGATGCGAAATTGGAGCTCGATTTGTCAGCCTTTCAGTCGGGTTTGGTGGCAGCAGAAAAAGTTACCGCTTGTTTGGAGAGAAGAGGAGAGTCATGTGATGCCAGCAGGCGGTAGCCTCATCTGCTTCCTGCTTCCTTCTCTTACGTAGCTTTTCTCTCATCCCTTCCCCCTTCCCTGACTTTCGCAGGTAGCAGAGTCCGGTTGCATTCGTACTGTATGCCATTGTACACTCGGTCATTCCGCTTCCATGTCTATAGCTGAGACTTGAGCGCAGCCTTTTAAGTGGAAACCGCCGAACTTGAACACACCCTACGGGCCACTGCGACCTCTTCAATTATACTAATATCCTCTTCGGTTCAATCAATTCATACCAGGCGCCAGTCATTGCCATCCACAACGACGATTATCGCATAATCTGAAATCTTGTCCTGAAATTGCGTTGAGGGTATCATTATCTCTGAAGCTGGAGTTCACAATTCTCGAAATCAACAGAAGACAGTAGCTGCATGCCAAATGAGGACCACTCTCGCTTGCCAATGGTGCCGCAGATCGAAAATCAAATGTCGTCATGATGGCATGCCCCCTTGCCAGGCCTGTACCTCAAACCCCATTCGCCAGTGCGTATTGAGCGTACCGAAAGCTAAGAAAAAGGTTCATGAACGGCCACAGTTGACCCAAGACGCTCGCGCAAGAGTTTGTACGCAAAATCGTCCACGGCCTGATGCAGGTCCTGGAACATTTCTTAGGGATCACCCCAGCCACAATGATCGGAATTTCGATAGTATCAATACCAATCTGCCATGTGTATCTACTATAATGATGGAGGCTTCGGACCCCGCACTTTCCTCTGCTCCTCCCAATGATCCTCTTCTGGGACTCGATCGAAAGGTTGTTTTGAACGCAACCGAAATTTTTCAACAACGCTTTACCATGTTCAGCTTCCTTCATGGACCTACGCTACTCAAACTCATTTACGGAGAAAACCCGTTGGATTTGAGGTTCTGTGGCATCATGGCCTTGTGTGCGCGGTTTATCCCAGAATTGATACACGAACATGGTGGTCCTCTTGCTGCATCTGAACACTTCGCTGCCTACCTACGACACAAGATAACTGCCCAGATAGTGATCAGTTTGGACATAACAATTGCCCAGACTTTACTGTTGCTGAGCTTTCATGATTGGGGTTCTGGAAAAGGCGGCCAGTCGTGGACATATAACGGTGCGTGCTCTTCCCTCTGCTTCATCACTTATTTTCCTCTACATTCACTTCATTATCCTCCGCAATTGCCAGAACTGATGGTTGAAGGCAGGCATGGCGACCAGAGCTTGTTCAGTGACCCTTGCACGACTATCCCGGTCTAAAACGCACAGACCCGCCGTCCTTCAGACGCAAGTTGAAGAGGCCCGACGGACACTATGGTCATGTTTAATGACAGAGGCAATGCTCGGATGCGGAGATCTTCGCTCACTGAGTTTCCATTCAAGGATGTACCACGTGCCTCTTCCGTCGTCTGATGAAGATTTCATATTCGGTGTCCGCCCAGAAAATGATTTGAAATATTTGGAAGTTCTTGATCTTGAGTTTTCAGACCCCCCAAAAATCCAAAGACTTGGCAACACAGGATTCGAAATCAATTTTTCGCTGATTATCCAGGGTTTCAATATCTGGTCTGAAGTTTCTCGATGGGTCTCTTCTGGTCAAAGAACACAAAGATCGCCTACCTCGAGGGGGCTCTCCTGGCGAGACGACTCATTCTGGAGTAGTAGCCTCACGGTGCTTGAGGACTGGCGAGAAGCTCAATCTTCACGCGTGCATTTCTCAGCTACCGACTCTCATTTACCGGCTTTCCTATCTCGCAGACATGGTGAGCGGTATGCCTTCGTGAATTTGATATATTACTCAACATCCATCTTCCTGCACCGCGAGTGTCTGCCTTTAATTATGAATGGCGGTCCTTCCCAGGGGGGGTCTGATGAGGCTAACACCTCTGCCGAACCAGTCTGCACCAATTGGTGGGAGACCAGTGCGGAGAAATTGGCTGAAAGCGCCCTCAACACTATCCATCTTATCAGACAACTTCTTCATCATGGGATAGATTTACAGGTTCCATTTACATGCTATTGCGTTTTCAATGCTACAACAGTACTTTATTACGCCAAGAAATGGCCCGAGATCATACCTGGGGGTCCGAATGCAGTTGAGCTTTTTGACTGGGGGGTTGAGTGGGTATCACGGGCAAGTGAAATTTGGGAGGTCGCACGAGTCTGGCGAACGACCTTGATGAAGATTGATACATTTCACATCGGTCCCGGACGCACCAGTACAGCGGCTCTCGGCCCTCAAAGTTCGTCGCAATCTCGAAACTGGGAAGAGTTGCGTTCTGACCAAATATCTCTCCCTATTGAAGGGAACTCTCCAACGCCACTTGGATTTGATGAAATTCAATTGCCCCATCAGCAGTATTATGCGACTTCAGATGGTCTGAGTTCGATATGGGACTCTCTGATAGCCCACCCCGTCCACGCATTTCCGGCAATGGATGGTGGTTTTCTGAACTTTGATTCGATTAATTCCCATATCGATACAAGGTGAATATTTAAAGCTCACGCCTTAGCTGCAGGTACCCGCTTTTTGGCCCAGCATAAAAAGTCAGGGATTGGATTTAAAATCGTCACTTCCAAGCTTCTATATTGCAATAAAATTAGCCTTCGCTTCTGGGTCAAATTGACAAATGAAAAAATATCAGCACGGTTGGTACCCACATCTTTTCGCCCAAAGTTTGCCGAAAAATGGCTAATGCGGTGACGCTTTGTTAGCGTTTTCATTTCGCATTTCACATTTCGCGTCTCGGCTTTCGCATTTCTATCCCTACTCCGCCACCCCAACCCACTTCGCCTTCAAAGTCATGATGAGGATGTTCCTCCCAAATGATGGGCTTGACCCCACCGAAGATCAATTACAGTTGTGAAAGCAACTCAACATGCGCTTTAATTTGAATGACGGGCATTGTTTTGAACCAGTTAGCAAGTACTGGATATCAAGGGGCCAGCCGTTCCTTCATGTTTGCTCATTAAATTCCTGATGATGGGGAAAAAAACTAAAACCCCCTTCCGACCTTTCTTTGCAGCGTCTGTTTTGGCAGCGTAAAAGTGGAGACATGAAGATCTAGAATAGGTAGTTCACGGCTCCTGCCATTCGAATCGGCACAGCATCCGGAATTCCTTGCGGAGGTCTGTCTATTCCAGCGTTGGGCGTGACCCTACATCTCCTGGGATTCGCATCTGGTCCAATGTTATGGGCTCCAGCTTCAGAGAGAATAGGTCGTGGATGTCCTCAAAAGATCGGCATGTTTGGCTAGAGCGTTTTACGACGGCGACCGCAACGGCAAAAAACGTACAGACTCTGATACTCACCAGGTTCTTCGCTGGGCTGTTTTCGGCGAGCCCCGTTTCAATCATTCCGGCGTGTTTTGCGAATATTTTCGATGACTATTACCGACAAGTAGCCATTACTGCATTCGCAATGGCTGTATTTGCGGGACCATCCCTATCCCCAATAGTGGGCGGGTTTATCAGGATACACAATGAACTTGGGTGGCGCTGGACCATGTATATCCCTGCAATTATGGGATGGGCCGGGACCATATTGCTACCTTGTTTTCAGAATGAGACTTGTCGTCCAGTTGTTCTAGCACAGAAAGCAAAAGCACTGAGACGGCGACATTCACATTGGGCTTTCCATACAGAACATGAAGAGATAAGCTTGAACTGGCGAGACCTCGTGTTCCAATACCTGTTCCGGCCAGCTCATATCTTGTTTACAGAGCTGATAGTTTTCCTTGTTACTCTTTACATGTCATTCGTTTATGGTTAATGTATGCATTACTTGGCGCATTTCCCATAATTTTCCAAGATAGGCACAAGATGGGCACAGCAAAATCTAGCCTGCCATTCTTGTCATTGGTCATCGGAGAGATTTTCGGAGGATTATTCGTTCTTTCAGTCTGAGACCGTACTCGTGATACCGCAGTGCCTGAAAAACAACTACTTCCGGCGGTGATAGGCGGTTCGCTTTTTGCCTTGGCGTTTATTGGTAGGCCTTGAACGAATCCCAGTCCTGAGAGCAGAAATCTAATACCGCAATATCCCATTCAGGATAGGGTGGACAGGATACACCCAGTCCATCGTTCCCACGGCATCTGGTATTTTGATTGGATTCGGAATTATTATGATCTTTCTTCAGTTCATCAACTACCTAATCGACAGCTATCTGAGTCTGTGGGTTTCTTTTCATATTCATGCACCGAATTACTCCAAAGCTAACAGAGCATGTGATATGAAGAGTCGCTTCCGTACTTGAGCTAACAGAGCATGTGATATGAAGAGTCGCTTCCGTACTTGAGCTAACAGAGCATGTGATATGAAGAGTCGCTTCCGTACTTGCGGCTAACACAATTCTTCGATCCGAGATTGCGGCCTGCTTCCCCTGTTCTCGAGACAGTTGTCCAACAACATGGGGATCCAATGGGCTGGGACCCTTTTGGGAACAATTGCGTTGCCTATGGTCCCTATCCCTCTTTTATTCAGGGAATATGGGGCGTATCTGCGACAAAAGTCCAGTAATTTATATTCCAGCCCTTCTTATATCGCTCCCGTCGTACATGGAGAAACCAATTACTTGGCACCCTATTCACACAGTAAGCAATTTCTTGCATCCGGAGAAGATTTTAGATGGGATAATGTGACGATATGTACATGCTATGATGGAAGTAGGATTACAAGGCCCGAGAGTACGTTCTCATGATCGACCCCTGATAATTCACGTTCGTTTACGCATAACAGTGTCTGAAATAGTGGACTAGAGCTTGAGGTTTTAAGATAAACATACATGGTTACTACGCGAAAAGCGATTCCGGTGCCACTGTAACCAAAGTAGAGAGGGTTGCCGGCGGAGAGGGGATGGAAACAGGAAGCCTACTATGTCAGATAGGATCACTTGCGGCCACTCAGCTAGGTGTGCCGCTGCAGGCCCACAGCTTGCTGACACATGGATAGCATCACCGGTCTGTTAGCCATATAGTATAGCATATTTCCATGCGGAATCTTGTTGCTGGTCTTCTGAAAACTTTTCGTTGTCTTTGTCTATCTAAAAACACATTGGAGGCCCAATTTGAATGTTGAAATTCTATCAGTCCATGAAGCCACCCATGAAACTGTCAAAATTGTCATGTTCTGGCAGGGCGTTTAAGATTTTCAAGAATCTAGTTGGGTCAAGTTCTTCCTCGTCCCCCCGAGATGACATATTCTGAAACGCAAGTAATGACTCTTCATCAATCACCAAACAAACTCTTAGCCTCACGCCGTGGCTCCCATAGTCCTGCTCAGCAATCCAGCTCTGGTAATGACTTCGGATCAGTTTCTTAGAAGCGCCCTCAAAACTAGTTGCGTCATCAATGATGACCGGGTCGTATTGCGCCCAAATATCCGCAAATGGTGTGGAACTTTTGTTCGGCGGGAATTTGGCCAGTTTTGAGGCGCACTCGGAATAGAGACCAAGTTTGAGATGCGTGTTGATTACATCAATCATTTTTGGAAAGACTGTATTTGAATCAAGACTGTAGGTCGTACGATAAAGGACATATCCCCAACCCTTCTTCTGTTCCTCGGGATAATGGAGGAGCTGGGTTGAAACAGATAGCCAGTCGAAAGCCATACTAAATCTTGGGCAGATAGCCCAATAGGTTCGGTCGAGGAAAAAGACGCGATTTGGTTGTTGGATGGACACAGAGGAATTAGGTACGTTACAAAACGACTCTCACAAGCGTGATTTTTAAAGGATCGGGCAGATTCTTCGGGATAATTTCGGGAGTGATTGACTGGTACACTTAAAATTACCCGATCCGAAAACGAGTTAAACAAGCATTGTGCTCTTCTCCTACTATAAAGCCAGCAGAACTAGCATACACCGCTGAGGTCATAAGAATTTATCTTCTGCTGCCGACCAGGCGCTATAACTTCGGCAAAGTGCGGAGTAGGCTGGTCCTCATCTCCACCCACCAACCTTGACAAGCAAGCGAGAGAAAGAACGGTTCAGCAGATTCTAAAAAGCCAAGCCACTAACGTCAACATCCCAAACAAGGAAGGCGAATATCCGCTTCATGCGATTCCCTTCGAAAACGGACGTGTTCACCTCGAGTGCGCCGTGCTATCGATGCTTCTCGACTACGGAGCACAAGTGTCGAGCCTGAATTGCAAGCGTCAAACTTGCCTCCACCTAGCCAGCAAAGCCGGAAATTGGAGAGCTGTTTGTATCCTCCTAGAGAAAGGATGTGACATAGCCCTACTCGATGTACATGGCTTCAGTCCTGTTCACTATGCTGTTTGCCACAACCGCTCAGACATCATACAGCTCATGTTCGAAAGCCGAAAAGAGCAATTCTCATTAGTTTGTGTCCAATTCGATGATCTTGGGAAAAGCATGTTACATCACTATACGGAATCACCGATGTGCTCTACCGAGGTGATCCGAATTCTCTTGAAAGTTGGATGTGATGTAGAAAAGCTTGATGCAAATGGGAACTCCGCCCTCAGCGAATACCTAAGGTCTTTTCATCTCGATGTTCAATATGACGTTCTTCGACTACTTTTTGAAAGTTCAGGCATAGAAGGGATACGCTGGACAGATCAAAAACAACGAAATCTTCTGCACCTACTGATGTGACAGTGGGGCGACGAAAATGTTCGTATCCTCAAAGATTTGATGTAATTACTGGATATCAAGACGAAGGATGCTTACGGCCTGGGCATTGAGCATCACGGTGCGATCCATGGGGCGTTCAACAAGCCTCTTACAAACTTTCTCCAAGATAGAGGGCAGTCGAATTTCAAGCCAAAGATTCCAGCAGCAAAACGCCTCTTGATTATACAGAAGAAGCGATCAATCGCAAACGCCACCCACATCTTTTTGGGGGCAATCGCTGGAAATCATCTCTGCAGAATTTGAAAGATATATGCAATAAACGTTGATTTGTCTCTTATGGCTCTTTGTGGTAAATTACACTGGGACATATTTGGGAAAAGACGGGCTCATTGTGACAGAAACGTATTGTCCTGACTGACTGTGCTGACTGGATCATGTCACTTCCTGACCCATGTCAAGGATGTGGTGCGGATTTCGGTGCTCATCGATGGAGTAAGATTATGAGAATAACAGTGTTGGCAATGATTCTCTGCTTGTATTAGGGGCGAAAATGAAGAGCAATGCTACCAAGAAAAGACGTCCGCTTGAAAGTATATACATGGGGATTCAGAGTGAATAGACAAACGCAAGGCAGCAATGAGCCACCATTTCCCTCAAGAATAGATACGTCCACCGATTGTGCTTTATGATTGGCTCGACATGATTGGTCCTACGCTACTCCTTGCTCCACTTTGGAGAAGCATAACCCTACGCCGTCCCTGAAGAAGCATTGTGCTATGCCGTACGCACTAGTTGTTTTAACGCGATTTTGGATCTTTATAAAAGTGAACACTGCTTAATCTCGTATGTTGATTGCCTGGATTGCCTGGATTACCATAGCCGTGATCCGGTATTACTAATACATACATTGCGGCTCCCTCAATAGTCTGGGCGAAAATCTCGCTCATGTCTTTATGCACACTTCGGTGCAAGACTATCAAGTCCTGCGAGTATTGCGAGATTACGGTCTTGATATACTTGGCAAAGATCACAGCAACAAATGCATAGTTCATCACGCAGCTATCCATGGGACTGTCAGCAACGGGCTAGTTGCGGCCTTACCAAAGCGTTCTATCCGTTCCTTTTGTGAACCTGACTGTGAGAGTCTGACGCCACTGATGTACGCTGAGAGAAGTGCTAGTCAAAATGAAGATGGAGATGAGATTTCGAATGACCAAAGATGGCAGGTTACTCTGGATCTCTTGCACATGATGGAGAACTATACGGGGTAGGAAGGTGAAAACGGTGCCGAGACTTGAATTATCAAATCCATTCTGAAGGCCCACTTCCATAACTTCAAACATACGTGTCCAACACCCCTTAAGATACCCTATTTACATGACGTGAGTCGACGTGTCCGCAGCGTAGCAAAAATTCAACCCTTTCAACCACTGAAGAGATTTCCTGGTACTCAAACAACCACCTTGACTCGTCAACTGGGGGTCTCATACAGTAAGTCGGAACGAATACTGGGTAATATTTACTGGGATGGACAGATTATAGATAAGGTTGGCAGATTCCATCCTTTCACAGACACCTTCGATAATTGATTGCCGATGTCGCGTTGACCTCCGTTGGGGTCGTAAATTGGAGAAGGGGTCATCACCACCAAAAGTGCCGTACACAGAGACGCCACATTGTCATTTTTACGTGGAATGTTCAGTTTCCCATTCATCGACCAGACGTGATACTTCCTTGAACGAAACAGGTTTCGTAAGGAACAAGTCGACTCCAGAGTCTTTTGCCCTGGACTCATCGTGTAAGCTGCTGAGTCCAGTGAAAGCGATGATCTTCGCACGGACGCAGCAATCCCGTTCTTTTTCAATTGCGCGAATGGCGGACGTTGCCTCAAACCCATTCATGATTGGCATGGAAATATCCATGAAAATCAAGTCGTACCCTTGCGATGTCTGTTCAAAAAAGTCGACAGCTGCTCTTCCATTCTCTGCCGTGTCCAAAACTAGGGCTTTTCGTTTCTTCATGAAAGTTTCTAGAAGGCGAATGTTGATGTCGTTGTCGTCTACCAGCAAGACCCGAGGTTTGCGTTGGCTTTCAGACGAGGCATCGAGAGCGCTGGATGGAAGAGAAAGCGAAGTCGCATGAGTGCCGGAGACGGTGTTCCTAGGTGTCGGATGAAGTGACATTTCTACATTTGAACACGGCACCGAATCATCGTGTTTCGGAGAATATATGGCATCACTGACATCACTAGAACCACTGGCTAAGGTTGGCGTGGCAAGAGATTCTGTAGCCGGTGATTCTAGATACCCAGACGACGATTCTTTAGACCCCTCGACTAGCGGAGACGAACCGAGCGGCCTGGGTCGTTCTGGGACCACGAACTTTTGTGTGAGGGTAAGCGGGCGTAACGTGGGAGTTGCTGGCTTCGGATCAAGGCAATTCAATATGCCGGTGGCGAGTTTCCGTGGGCCACAGGGTCGACTGAGGAGTGCCACCGACTCAGCAAAGTGCGACCAATTGTTCTCAGTATCAACAGAGCTGCTGGGGGCGTTGCAAAAAAGAATCAAGTTTCGCAATGCAGTGGGGAAATGCTGCATATTCACTTCAGATATATCGTTTTCATCCGCAAACAGAATATCAAAATACTCGTCGGCGGACCACGGGACGAGCTGTATGCCATACCAGTCCGTAATATACCGAGCAACCGAAGACCAGAACTGATTCTCGGCAAGGCTTAATAAATCAATTCTCCAAATCGCAGCACGGGTCCTTGTCAAGTCCATACGACGCAATCGAGAGGGCGCCGAATTTGTATTTTGTTCTAGTTTCTCCACACGAGGCGTTGATGGTGGACTCTCCCCTCCCATTGGACGCTCAAGAGGAAACGACACCTTGACAGTGGTGCCTTCATCCACTCGGCTCTGGATGTTGATGCTTCCGTTCAGTGTTCTCACTATGCCGCGAACAATTGACAGACCTAAGCCAGTGCCTACCGATAGCGTGTCCTCTTGTGCAAATGGAGTGTATAGACGTGTCCGGAGGTATTCACTCGAGATGCCTCTACCTGTGTCGGATATGGTCAACGTCACCATATCTTCAAGACCTTCTCGTCGATAACACTCCTTAGAACGCTGAGTGGCCTCGATAGAGACAGAAATTATACCCTCTTTCGTATACTTCAGAGAGTTTCCAAGAAGATTCATGATTAAACGCCTCAACGACCCTGGCTGGACTTGATACCGCCAGTCATTGTTGCTGATATCGACAACAATGTCCACTACTGGAGTAGACCCAAATTCATTGTCTTCTTTCGCCGATTTGGAATGCGAGTTTTGCGAAACTCCACTGGGATGGTCGGTTGGCGCTGAGGACCGTCGCATGTGGGAATGCCCCAAACATACACTTTCAACAACATCTTCTGTCAAGATGGCAACGTCTGTCGACACAAATAGATCCATGTGCGCCCGGGTTTCGTCTGTAGCCTTTGACCTCACGGGATCTCCTCTATCCTTAGATCTCCTCGTCTGCCTTTCCAAGGACATGATCTTGCTAAAATCCAATACTTGGTTCATCGTATCCAAGAGTGTTCGACCACATGCGTTTATTGCCTCGAGGAGGGATTCCTGAAAATGGTCCAACCGAGTATCAATCAAGAATTCAGCAGCTGCCAAGACACCATGCAACGGGCTTCGTAGCTCGTGGGAGATGCTGCTTATGAAATCCTCTTTTTGGCGATTTGCAATAACAGATTCAACACGGCTGTGTTCGATCATTATAGACGACGCAAAGCCGAATATTGAGCTCAAATCCACTGCACGACTGAAAACTCTCGTCGGTTGGGGAGTCCAACAAAAACACCCGGCAAACCACCGCAAAGTGGTGGCGTTCCATAACGGAACAAACATGATTTGGCACGCATCAGGGAAGTAAATATTGAGTTTGCTGGTTTCTGAGGCCCTGAGCTTGTTTTTATGTTTCCGAGGTGTGCGCGTTGATTGCTCATCGTCTGAAGTAGACAAAGACCCATCACGGTTGAAGGACCAGAGTCTTCCTTGAGGATAGCGAAGAACTAGTTGATGTAAAAAGACCTTGTCAAGATTTGCAGCCGGGCACGATGTCGTACAGGCTGCATGATATGGCAGTGCATCGTCTGTGGTAGACAGCGCAAGGACAGGCGCAGGAATATTGGAGTCGATGGGATTGCGATGGCTGTCGGTGGCACCATCTGGTGAGTCATCGCTGGTCTTCAAAAAGATCACACCGCCAGCACCGTTCAAGCTCAGACTCTGCCGCAAGAGATTCGCAGCTCGCGAAAAGAGCCTATCATCTGTGTTCGAAGGAATCAATGAACTGCTGTCGTGTTGTCGCAAGCTAGGTGAGGGTGACACTGCGTTGGTGGACATGCCTGTGTCCAACTCTTCGTCGTGGCTTGAGCTCAACGCTCGTTCGTTGCCATCTCGAAGGCTGGCATCACCGCTCTCAGCCCGTGCTGAGCAAGTTTCTGGGCCACTGTTTTGAGGAATCCTTGATCGGCTTCTCCTAGATGAAGAAGATTCCTGTGAGGTCCAACTACCGCTTGAACAGTTCGATCGAGACGTATAGATATCGTCGGCGAAACTGGAATTGCCATCAACGAAAAGACGGAGACCATGTGACAGCCGCGAGGCGCGGTGCCCTTCTACAGCCTGACGGCTGACCTGTAAATAGTTCATGACCATCGCCGCTACTGTGCCCAGGGTATTTTTTTCGCCATCAGTCAACCCTTCGCGAGGTCGAGGATCCAATACAAACAAGCATCCCAAGTTGATATCGCTATCGCTCGTTAGGGGCGTTCCGGCATAAAAGCGGGAGTGGGGCCTTCCTTCAACAAACGGCAATTGCCTGAAGCGATCCTGTTGTGCAAGATCGTCGATAACCAAAAATGGATCTTTGTTCGACGTAATTGCAACTGTCTCCTGGTTTGCAGAAATAGGTTGGTCTCAAAACGATAACTGATAGCTAGCAAAATTCGCAGACTGATTGGTCTTACCTGACATATATTCCAAGGATTTGTCAATGTCGATGTCCCGGCAAAAAGTCGGTCTTCTCCTTCCACGAATGATTCCGAGTCTCCGATTTTGGTATTTCTTGAAGCTTCGGCTAAGATAAATTGGGAGTCGCGATTTAATAAACTAGGAGACAAAGTTTAGAGTCGGTCAAGGTAAGGAAAATGGACCAATGTACGTAATAAAGGCACGTTGTGCGTTCAGGTGCAGAGCCGCCAGATGTGCGAAAGAAGTCAACGTCGTATTCGGACTATAGAAAACTCCGGCTCCAATTGAATTCCTCTCAGAGACCGAGATATCGGGAACAGCAGAGGCACTAGCCATCAAAATGTCCGGTATGGAAGCCGAATTATTATCAATCGGAAGCCATGGTTCGTTAAACGCTGCCGGATTTGTTGGCTGGAAGTACCGAAAGACTTCGCGAGCCTGACGATCGGCTTTGTGACCTTGGGAAATCTGTTCCTCTGAACCGTCCATGATCCGCAGACTAACACCACTATTGCTTTGCTGCGAGGAAGGATAGAGTGATCTGAGAGCGGGGAAATCATTCAGTCACGTGCCCAGCCACAGGCATCAACGGTAGGCCTCGCCAAACGCGGGTTCGGGGCGGGTTTTCATTTTTCCAACCCGCCCACGGGTAACCCATCGCGGGTTTTGCATTTCACAAACCCGCCCGTGGGTTTTTGGAAAATGTTCGCGGGTACCCAAATTACCCATCAAAATACATAATTGATACACAATATATGATTAGTCAGTGTGTGTATTTTTGGTAATCTATTTTGGTACCGATTTAATATTGGAAATACAATCAGATAAGATATAACATCGGCTCCGAAATATATACAGTCAACTCTCACTTATTGCACACCCTCCCATCCAAGGAAAATCATGTGCAATAAGCGGGAGGTGCAATAAGTGAGAGGATGACATAATCAATAAATTAGCTAGCCCTTAGCCCCATTGCCTATTTAGGCTTCCATCCCATATCCTCTAGGGTCACCTGACGCTTCTCCTCGACCTGAATCCTGCCAAACTCGCTGATTAAGCTCTCAACCTGACGTATATGGTCTGATGTGCTCTTTTCCTTGCTTCCAACCCATAGTAATATATCCTGTAGATGACCCATTATATCAGAATTGGACAGAATCTCTGGTGGAGGCCCATTTTCTTCAATATCTTGTGCTTCCGAGCTCTCTATATCAATATATATATCTTGCCCATCAGTCTCATCTTCATATATAATATCTTCCTCTATAGGGTTCAAAAATTGATCAAATGGTATGATATCATCATGACCAAGCTTCTCAACTGCTTCATTATATAGAGCTTGAACCTCACTAGTTAACCCTGGCTCAGGAATTGGTTGAAAACCAGCTTCTATCTCATCTTGGATAGCTTTGGTCTCATCTTCAGAACGTATTAAAGTGCTTTTTTTGAAGCAATTCTCAATCGTTTGATCTGATATTGAGCTCTTCCAAACCTGGGTTAACCAAAAGAGTGTATAAGATATACAGTCAACTCTCATGGCCTGCACACCCGTGAGTTGCACACATTTGTCAGCGACACACTTTTTTCCTGTCTAGACTAGTTTTGCCCCACTCTTACATATAAAACTCTCGTGGGCTGCACCATCTATGGTCTGCACACTTTTTTTTCCCCTTCTGTTCGCTTACTCAGCATATCTGTCCAATCACAATGCAGGATTCTACCTCGCCGTCGCCGTCGCTCCCCTCCACCCCTTCGATCCGATCTTCGGTCGCCCTTTCAGCGAAATTACCCTATCCAAAACGATCAAATGCGACTATATCTGATGCTCAGAGAAAAGCCTTACGTATCTTTGCATTTGATACACGTCCTAAGCCTACCCAGAAAGCTTGTGCTGCATGGTTTCAAGAGAAATTCGGCCGAATAATCGATCGTACGACAGTTTCTCGAACCCTTTCATCTCAATATAACTACCTAGATAATAGCGAAGCTGGGACTAAATCAAGAAAGTCTACCGCACACTGGCCGCTGTTAGATGAGGCTTTATATCAGTGGCAACGACGTCATACAGAGAAGGGGTTTCCTATGACTGGACCTCTGATTCGGCTTAAAGCTGCAGAATATTGGAAGAAGATGCCGATGTACAAAGATCAGACTATGCCTGCATTTAGTGATGGCTGGTTGACTGGCTTTAAACGTCGATATTCAATCAGATGGCATACCTTCCATGGTGAAGCTGCCTCGGTCCCAGACTCGATACTAGACCTGTACATGGGCCGGCCCATGGGCCAAAATTCGAATATCCGGCCCAATTGGGCCGGCCCATGGGTTTTCTTGGCGGCCCATGGGCTGGCCCATTTGGCCCATTTAGCCCCCAAATTTGCATAAATTATATGCAAGATATTCAATATTACTAGTGGTATTTGATAGTGTTCTAATTATACAGCTTTAACTATGGCAAATTACTAAATAGATTACCATTCACCAAATATACTGTAAGTCAAAAGATATATATTCCTTTACTCGCAAGCTAGTAGGCCTTCTTGCTTTGATCGTTTGTGAATTCGATGTAGTTGAGAACTTAGGTTTTCTTAGATTTTTTAATACTATAGGGAGCGCAGTAGTCTGATTCGATTCTCTATATTTTTAAATTGATTAATACTACTTTGGTGGTGGCTTAAATCCATTAAAATATTAACATCGGAGGGTGAAAAAAAAATTCGATGCCGACATCTAATCCGCGGGGGATAGCACTTCACGAATATCTAGGCTGAATGGGCCGGCCCATGGGCTGGCCCATTAAATTAACCAATCAGAGACCCTTAATAGGGAGTCTCCTGGCTAAGTTGCTAATCAGACTAGAGCTGCGTACACAACGCGTCCCCCCTGAGTCTCTGCTTTATTGATCTTTCAGCTAAATAGAGAGTATGTACTTGTAGAATAAAATAGTTCGTTACCTCTTTCTCTACTCTCTTCTATCTATTCAACAATCCTCGTTCTTTAATTAATTGCCTATTCTTCATTATGCCTGAAATCCAATTACCAGAGATAACCCTTATAGATGATGGCGAGGCATGTGATGTTGATGATTCATCTTTCCTGGATCTTTACTCTGACAGTATTGCGCCTGAGCACTCTGCAAGTCAAACAACACAGTCTTTCCAACCTATCAAGATCCCAGGGTGTCTTAAACCTATCAACAACCACATAATATTCGAAGCAATGAACAAGGAAGAGTTTGTTGAATGGTGGCTTCGTACATCTGCTGGGCAAGCTGAGGATGCGAGAGTATGGGATACAAAGGGCTGCCGAGCAGATATCTGGGCTTCATTCGACCAGGTTGCTTACTGTGTTACTGGGAAGCCAATGATGATGTGCAAGCGATGTGGTGCTATTCTCCACCACCCCAATGCTATAAGTCGTTCTAGTAAGAGCGCACATGGAACTACTGCGTTACGCCGCCATCTTACACGTCAAACATGCCAGGCCAGAGGGCAAGCGCAAGGGAAAGGGTCTCATCTACAGCGGCTACTACAGCATCAGGTAAGGACCTTCTTTTCCAGCCGGAAAACCATCTAATGCTTCTCTCTCTTGATTAGGCAGCCATAGCCCCTGAAGCATTCAACGAGAACCGATGGAAACAGCAACTTATTACAACAATATCTACATTACGCCTTCCCTTTACAACGATCGAACACCCTGAATTTCTGAAGCTTATCCGACTAGCTCAGCGAGCTCCCTCTCCTATCAATATGCCCTCTCGCGTAACATTACAACGTCAGATTCAAACAAAGGCAAAAGATCGTCGGAAAGAGATACTTCGGAAATTGCCAAAGCATGCAAAGCTTTCAATTAGTCTGGACTATTGGACCTCGCCCTTTCAACAAGCCTTTATGGCAGTATCTGGCTATTTTATTGATTCAGAATGGGAATACCGAGAGGTTTTACTTGATTTTAAACCTCTTGAGGGTGAGCATACTGGGGTAAATCTCAGTCAAGAGGTTCTTGAACTACTTCGAGAGTATGAGATTAAGGAGCGAGTATTGGCTATTACTACTGATAATGCGTCCAATAACTTAACCCTTGTTTCTTCTCTCCAGGAAACTCATCTCTCTCAAGGCCTGAGCTCTGATACCATTATTATCAGAGTACCATGCCTTGCTCACGTCATTCAGTTGAGCCTTAAGCAGCTCCTTGGTCAAATAAAAGCAAACCCTGTCAATGAGAATGTTGAATCTATTTGGTCAGAAGAGCATATGCAGAAAGCACGTCAAATAGCAAAAGAGTACAGTATAGCCAGCACCCTTCGCAAGGTTTGATGATCTAATACCCTCACTATTCTCCGAATCTCTACTAATTCTATTATGGTTTACCTAGATTCGAAACCTTGCTGTATTTATTAATGCAAGCCCTCAGCGCCGTGCGAATTTTAGGAACCTTCAGCCTGAAGGCTCTCAACTGTTTCCAATTCAAGATGTACGAACACGCTGGAATTCAACATTTCTGATGCTCCGCCGGGCAAAGCGACTTCAGTCCTATCTTAATACCTACTGTGTGGCAGATCACCATACTGATCTTCAGCTGAGTAGAGATGAGTGGCAGCAGATTGATTATTTGATCTGCATTACGCAGCCATTCTATCAATACACCACCGCTCTCTCAAAAACCAAAGGCATTACAATTCACATGGTTTTCAGTATCTATAATCGTCTGTTTGAGCATCTTGAAAGCCGCCAGCGTCAGTTGTGCCACAAGAAGATCTTATGGAAACGTCAGATGCTTCAGGCACTGGAAAAAGCAAGAGATAAGCTCAAGGACTATTACTCAGCGACCGATACTCCAGGGCTTATCAACATATATACCAATGGAACTATCTTAGCGCCGCAGTATAAGCTTGAGTTCTTTCAGACCCCTGAGTGGCAAGATAAGGACTTTGCAGGTGAATATAAAGCAGCACTCGAGCAGCAAATTCTTGCCTATGAAGTTCAACTCCATGATACTTGCTCACAATCTGAAGGGCCTTCTTACCCACAGCCTGTTCAAGAGATTGAAATATTGCTTGATAGTTATAGAGCTCGACCCGTAGTACCACTCTCAGAGCTCCATCAGTATCTGAAGGGGGGTAAGTATTCTCCCAAAACACAGTTTCAATACATACCTCTCTAACTATTCATTCAATAGGTACTATACTCACTTCCCCACTTGATTTCTGGAGGGACCATGAGCAGCAGTTCCCAGTGCTTGCAGCAATTGCTCGAGACATGCTTTCTGTCCCAGCTACCGGTGCAGGTGTAGAACGCTTATTCAATTCTGCCCGCGATATCTGTCATTATCGCCGCGGCTCTCTCCATGCAACGACTATTCAGGATCTCATGCTGCTCATGTGTGCTAATCGATTTGATATTGAGGAGGAGCAAATTGCTTTTATACGAGAATATAAAACAGAGTACGAGATAGATATTCAACAGGAGGATACCACAAAGCATATTCTACAGGAGATCATAGAGATTAGTGAGGGGGAGGAGGAGGAGGAGGAGGAGAAGGAGAAGACTCCTCTACAGCATCATACAAAGCGAAAAAGAGATAATTATGAAGCTGAAGAGGATACATCAGATGAGGCAGGAGGCTCTGCGGAAGAAGAGCCTCTACTACCTAAGCAATCTAATACTCAGCGTGCTTCAGGGAGGGCCCGGATACCATCGATACGGCTACAGGGATATACTACTTAATATAATCTATAATTTCATTCACATCTCTGCTCTCACTGTATCTGATTCAATATAAAAATCACTATTGTATCACAGAATCACTTTATTATCGAAACCACAGCATTACAGCCAAGATCTCGCTTAATCTTCATATTTTATGCAACGCATGTTAGCCCTAGAAAAAGCCCTATCTTTGGGCCATTGGGCCGTTTTGGGCCGGCCCATTAATGGGCTATGGGCCGGGTTTTTGACCCAATGGCCCAATTGGGCCGACCCAAATGGGCCGGCCCATGGGCCATGTACAGGTCTACTCGATACATCATGAGATGAAAGCGATCCAGATTATCTGTGATGAATATGCACCTGAGGATATCTATAATATGGATGAGACTGGTCTTTACTGGCATCGTATGCCTAATGGTGGGCTTGCATCTGAAGGTCGACCTGGCCAGAAAAGAGACAAGACTAGGATAACTATTGTCGTAGCATCGAATGCGACTGGTTCGGATCGATTACCTCTCTGGATTATTGGAACTGCAAAGACACCTCATGCATTAAGGGGTGTTAATATGGCTTCTATTGGATGTAAGTGGCGTCACAATAAGAAGGCTTGGATGCGACACGAAATTATGGAACAATGGTTACGTACTTTTTACCTACGGATCGGTAGGCAAAGACGTGTACTTCTGTTAATGGATAATTTCAGTGCACATCTTGTAGCTCTTGAAAAGGCGCCACCGCCGTCTAATATAAGGATAGTCTTCTTCCCAGCGAACGCTACATCTATCTACCAGCCCCTTGATCAGGGTATTATCCAAAACCTCAAGCATTATTATCGCAAGAGCTGGATGTATTGGATGATAGGTATGCTAGACCGTGGTATCGATCCACGTGAACGCATGAGTCTAAACTACACAGTACGGTGGTTAACACAAGCGTGGCGAACAAAGGTCAGTAATGAGACTATTCAGAACTGCTATATCAAGAGTACTGTTGTTCCCGGGTGCCGACCATCTAATCAAGATCTGACTGATCACGATCAGATAGAAAGTAACCCACTGGATCCTGAATTAAAGCCTCTTTATAATCAGGTTGTTGAAAAGCTTGCATTTCAACCAGATGCGGATGAAATATTACCATTTAATGAGTTTCTCAGCCCATCAGATGAAAATATTGATACCGCAGAGCCAGAATTAGAAGATATTATGTTTGACTTCAGTGGTGAGGATATCGACGATGATCTACCTGATCCTGACGAGGAATATATATTTGGGCCAAGACCAGAGATTCCTTCTGATGCGGTAATTCTACGACATCTATCAGATCTATCACTATGGGCTACTTATAGAGAGGGATGCACAGAGGAGAATATGTCATCAATTGAGGCTTTAACCAAAGCTTTCAAGAAGCTTGAGGTAGATAGGAAGAGACAGAAGACATTGATGGAGATGGGATTTAAACCCAAATAGGAAAAGCTTCATGTATATATTATATAATCATCTCACGAGCTACACACATTGGGTGTGTGCAAGAAAAAATCCAAGCCTCAGAGGGTGTGCAGCCCACAAGAGTTGACTGTATTCATACGATCTTGTGGATCAAAACCTCGATCAAGGATAGCAATCATCCAGCGCATCCATTTCTTCCGATAATAGTGCTTCAAATTTTGAATAATCCCTTGATCTAGAGGTTGATATATAGAAGTTGCGTTTGCGGGGAAAAAAAGAACCCTAATATGAGCAGGTGGTGGGATAGACTTCAGACCAGCAATATGTGGAGAGGCATTATCCAAAAGCAATAACGCTTTCTTATGTATAGGAATACGCCTATAAAAAGCATATAACCATTCCCTCATAATGTCTTGACGCATCCACGCCTTCTTATTCCAACGCCAGACACATCCTAGAGCTTGGAAATTGACTCCCCGGAGCGCACGTGGTGTTTTTGCAGTTCCAATTAACCATAAAGGTAATCGGTCTGATCCATCTGCATTTGTTGTAACGACAAGAGATATTCTAGTCTTATCTTTCTTCTTTCCAGCAATTTTTCCATGGGAAAGACCCCCATTTGGCATCTGCCTCCAGAATAGGCCAGTTTCATCCATATTATATATCTCAGATGGTTCATATTGATTAGACCTCGAGATGGGGCGGTTCTTTTCGAAAGTTTAGGACCGCGAACCGCCAAGAGGACCGCTAAAAGACCCGCCAAGAGGTATAAACTACATAAATTAGGATTTATACACTGTTAATTTCCTATTTAGCATACTTTATACCTACTTAAATCCTTGGCGGGTCTAAATCTAATGTCTTTAGAACCGCGGCGGGTCGGCCTTGGCGGTTATTCTCGAGGTCTAATATTGATCGCATATCGTACGAATTTCTTTCATATGATTGTGTACAGAAGATGGGACTGAAGCAGCTTCTCCATGGAAAGTATGATATCGAAGATTATGCCGGTTTTTGAAGCGCGTAAGCCAACCCTCTGAGAAAGCAGGTTTTTGTTGATCTCGATATTCAGGGATCTGAGACCAAAGCTCGTTTGCTTTGATCTGGATCAAAGGGCCAGTGATTGGAAACCCTGATTCAATATGCTTATTCACCCAATTCGAAAGCTTCTGGTCTAGAATAGGCCAGAAAGATGAAGAAAATCGTGAATTTGCCTTAGTAAGCCCTATATCAAGATAATCATATTGAGATGATAGAATTCTTGAGACCGTTGTACGATTAATCTTATGTTTAAATTGGGACAAAAACCAATCTACACACGCGGATTGGGTTGGCCTAGGGCTAGAATTAGACCAAAAGGCACGTAATGCCTGCTTTTGGGCATCTGATATGCCTAATCGAGCACGCTTTGCTGGTGGTAGAGCAGCTTTGTGTAGCTGGTCTGACAGTTGGAAGAGGTGGAAGATCGGAGATTTCAGGCATTTTGATTGGTCGATATGACTGACTAAGCGGATGACTCAGCAAATATGGGATGAAAATTGTGTGCAAAGGGTGAGTGTGCTAAAAGTGGGAGTTTTGTATGTAAAATCAAGAAAAAGTGGGTCCGTCCAAGCGAATTGTGTGCTATAAGCGGGAGTGTGCTAAGAGCGGGTGTGCAATAAGTGAGAGTTGACTATGTTGGCAGGAAAAGACCAACGAAGTAACATATATATATATTTATATATTCATGTATGCGTAGAAGAATGGAAGCAACTTAGCACGGATTCAACATGTACTGTGCAGTAGCAGAGTTAGTTCATAGGACGGGAGAGCAAAGTAAAAGATATAAATATATAGCCACACAGTACGAAAACAACACAACGTAGGACTGCACAACGGAGGCGGATTGCTTTAATTAACGAGTATCTAAGCTTACATTCTCTTTGTAGTAGAGTTGCCTATATCTAGGACCAGGAGCTATTCCCCTATTGTCCAATTACCGGTGACGATATATCGCCAACGATAATATCATTTGCCGATATCGTATCGACAGTTCAAAAAACTGTCGATGTCGATTGCCGATACGATATCGGCAGACTTCGAAGTTGACGATGCCGATTGACGATATGGGAAAACAGTGCCGATATCGTATCGTTAACAGCTCTAGCGCAATTTGTAGGTACTGCAGTATAAGAATCATAGAGAAATAGTAGTGACAGCTCGATATATGCCAATCAGAAGGATAGAAGAAGATGATGGCAAGGCGAGGACGACCTTCTTGAAACAAGATTTATTTTCTGCTGATATGAATAACAAACTTAAAGATCAAGCTTTCCTGGTAGAATTACCTCCCGTCTTCCTAATTTCTCAAAGACGCGGATCTTGTTACGGTGATGAGAGGAGGGTCTAACCGCCGAGGCGGTATATCGTGGAAAAACGCGAATCCCGCAGCGAGACACGTGATATAGCATCCATCCGACCATCCTGGTCATTCGTATATCCCTTAATGAAACACTGGAAGGTATAGTTGAAGATGCTAGAGCCTGCAAGATTTCGGTATTCAGAACTGGGTATAATGTGGAATCTTTGAGATATTATAGGTAATTACGTGACCTCGTTTTGCCGATATAACCACTAATAGCGAGCTTGTGGTAGTACATGACCGACCATCAAATCCAGCAAGGCTACCCCATGATGCTCTTTTTAACAATCCTCATCATATGCTAGAGATATGTGTAAAAGCCTTGGTAACCGAAGGCCGGTAATTCCTCTCCCAGTATTTTGCGCTATTCCTTGGGATCTGGTACGTCAGTAGTTGGAACCAGATGCCATGGTATTTTTGGCTTTACCCACAGCGCTAATACGGATTCGGTTATACTCAAATAGTTTCTTGCTAAGAGGCGTCCTAATGGTTGAAGTTGACGCTCCCCGGCGGCGGTGGGAACAGGCTCGAATAACACCGAAGCGGATTTACATAGAGCAGTTGTTAACGTGTTTCATGGGTCGGAGTACGGCAGCCGATAGTGAGGCAGGGGCCAAAATTCCTGACCCAATCATTAGCCTCACCGAGATGAGCTCCGCCTGGATTGACCGCTAAGTACACCACCAACCAGATCTCCGTATGCTCTATCAATAGCGCAGTAGGGGTACGTTTTAGATAGAGTGGTGTTGGTCAGTTAGACCGAAACCTCCAAAATGCCAGATTTTCCAACATTCTTCCAGATTTTGGTTCACCATACTAAACTTTACGAATCTTCGCCAGTTTTGAGAGCTCAAATCTCTAAGATACGCCTTTTTGACAAATCTGGCCTTCTACCATGCCTGCTGGACGACCCCAGGTCAACATGGAGCCCTATAAGGACCAAATCATTGTGCTCCTGACCCAGAAGACGCCTATTAATGTTATACTAGACATGTTGCACCAAAAAAACGGTCTCCAAATATCTCCTAGAACATTCAAGCGCCGTACGCAGGCCTGGGGTATCCAGCGACGAGCACCCACAGGCATCACCAATAACAGACCCTTACAAATACGCGTCGAGACACTCATCTGTGAGGGTAATCTGTCTCCGAAAGAGATACTCGAGGTTCTCGCCCGCGATGGCACCCCTATCTCCAACGACTCGCTTAAGCAAATCCGTAGGCGGCTTGGTATACGCCTTCACATTGATGATAAGGACGAGCAGCGTCAGCAGGAGGACGAGATACTAGAGGTACTGAAGGAGGAACAAGGCTTTGGGCTTATTGAAGGGTACGGACGGGGTCATCTTTATGCCCACTTACGCCGTCATGGGCATATCTATGCGAGAGACTGAATCTTCGATATTTGGTGTTCTTTGCGCCCCGATGCTCTTGAGCGTCGTTTGACCAATCTCCAGAGGTCGCGCGGTGCCTATAAATGCCCTGGGCCAAACTTTGTATGGCACATTGATGGATATATGAAGCTAGAGCCTTATGGGATCGAGATATATGCTGCGATTGATGGATATTCGCGTTATGTTACCTGGTTCTATGTTGGTATGCGCACCGCTATAGGGTCATTCTAAGGTCTTTGAGTATCTGACTGTCTGCCCTAGGTATAAGCACGCGAACTAGTTTCAGCGTTCTCCGTCAATATATAGATACATTATCGGCTACTGGCTTCCAACCGCGCACTATCCGCTCCGACCTAGGCACTGAGACGATGCTGATCGCCGATGCTCACTATGCATTACGGAAAGCCATTGATATCGATCCAATGCTTCAGTTTTCTGACTGCTTTTGGTATGGCCGTAGTGTCCAAAATCAACGCATCGAGTCCTGGTGGGGACAGCTTACAAGCTCTATGAATTTCGTGTGGCGTGAGCTCTTTATTTGGCTACAGGACCAGGGCCACTTTCAGGCGACTATCCCTGACCAGATTGCTCTTCTTGCTGTATATATGCCTTCTATTAAGGACACATGCGCGGAATTTGTACTGACATGGAACTCCCATCGTATAAGGAAGCAGAAAGGACGCCCCTATAGTGTTCCAGGCAAGCCATGGATGAACTACTACTATCCAGGGCAGGATACTGATGGACAGGATATCAAGGATTACCAGCACACGCTTGACCCTGCTATGCTTAGTGCTATGCGATATGACGTGGATGGCTGGGATGCTGACGAATATCTCCCCAGGCATACTATGGAATGGCGCCATACTCAGTTGCTACAAATGCAGTTTGACCCTGAAAGGCCACCAGTACGAGACGGCACCCGCCCATATGTGGAGATCTACCTTCGGCTACGAGAGCGAGCCGTCTATCATACCCAAATAGGTGCTATTCCGATCCTATCACTGTGCGAGAAGCCCACTATGTCTTCTGATTGGGCATAAAATTAAGGGAGCGGCTTGCAGGCTTGGCTTATGTTAGAGGTAAAAGTGGAGATTAATAAATATCAAGCACTAGTTCTGTCAGAACTTTATTATTCTAGGGATTGTAGAAGATATTATAGTATCTCCTGACGTCCTAGAATCTCCTAATATCCTAGTATATCCTATTGAGCATCTTCTACAAAGTACTACCCACCAAATGGCCTATTATTCCAGCGACACGCCTGATCTAGTCGATTTGACAGGGCCATATGACGATTCACCATCCTCCTCCTCCACCTATACTACTGGCCAAGGAGCAGCACCGACAAGACCCCCCTCAGCTTATACCGAGCCATGACCTGCTTCCTAACCCTATAGTATAATACACCAACGAGTGGCAGGTAGAGTTCGCAAGCGAGAGATAAAGAGGACTAGACCAGGACACATTACTAGGCCTGAGCCACCACAGCAGGCCCCAACTCTTATCCACTTCTGTCTCTGGCGAAGACCATCACTGGAGAGAAAATCATGGACGTTTGAGGAGCTTAGTGAGTTAATATATCGATGTTATTTAGTTTAATCAAGGTAGGTTTCAATTTGCTAATAGACACTTCAATATAGGTGATGTTTCCCAGTGGGTTCCTCCACAGACAATTTACGGCTTTAACGACTTTATTACAAAACATCTTCTGCCTGCGCTTAGTCCTGATCTCGGGGTATACTCAGAAATGTCTACTGATCGATATCAGTTAGCTACAGGCCTAAAAGGTCAAAAGGGCAAGAGGGAGCCATATATCCTATCCGCTACTGAAGATTACATGCGATGTACTACAAATCTCTGCGAGTGTTTTGATTTGGCTGGTGGAGCTCGTCAGATTTATGTTGTTATTATACGTGAGGAGGAACAGCTTCATATCAAACCTGAGCCTATAATGAGCCGCGAATCGAGCTTGGCCAGCGACATTAGCAATTGCACGACCCTCCCACCACCAGAACAGCCGGCTACTGACGCTAGGAGAGAGGCTACTTTAAGGGCTACTCCTCAGCGGCAGGTTACGCCACATCAGGATACACCGCAGCTAAGAGATCCTTCAAGTACGCTGCGACGTGGTGGTGCAAGACGCAGTGGCACCAGAGGCCCTCGGGTAGAAGCATCACCGGCTATATCACCACCACGTACGCGTAGTAGGGCCTCTAGGGGTATGAGGGCAGGTTAAAACTATTCAGAAACTGCATATTTGGGCGATTTTGAGCACCTACAAACAATCAGAGTTAGTTAACTCATAGTATAGTAAATGAGAAGGCAGGATTTTAAAGATATAGTTTTATGCATCTAGAATTCCAGAGGCCTTGGTCTAACTCTGTCATGACCTCTGAATAGAGGCACACTTTTTGCCCTTCTCCAGAAATACTTGCTTAACATATTTTGGCAGAAATATACAAGCCTAGGGTATGAACCTTCCATATTAGGGCTAGTGACCTTTTCTGCCGGCATTATTTGAATTTTGGCCCCAACCTCTCTATCGTCTGCCGTAGGTCGGAGGGCCACCCGTGCTGGAGGGCCACCCGTCTCCACAGACGCGTCGCGTGTAGCAACCTCCTTTTTGCAACCATCGCGATGCCACCAATTCGCCATGAAAAGCGACAAAAATTGATTGAACAAGAGGGCAGAATGGAATTGGCCATCCAGGCCCTAAAAAACAAAAAAAATTTCATCTATTCGTGAAGCTGTGCGGGTTTTCGGTGTACCGCGTACAATGTTGCAAGGACGGCTGAATGGTCGTACCTATTACCTAATTGCACGTATAAATAATATGAAATTGACCGTAATTGAAGAGGATTTATTGGAAAATTGGATACTGGACCTTGATTTACGTGGTAAAGCCCCCTCGTATGCTATAGTAAAGGATATGGCTAATATATTGCTTGTAGAGCGGCCTTACACTAGTAGTATTATTACTATGGGCAAAAAGTGGGTATACTAGTTTGTTAAACGTTGGGATGCCCTTAAATCTAGGTTTTTACGTCGATATAGTGTATAGTATGTCTTATGTAAAGATCCGAAGGTTATAAAGGAGTGGTTTTGCCTTTTGGCCGATAAAATTGCTAAATATAGTATACTCGACGATAATATCTACAATTTTAATAAGACTAGGTTTGTAATAGGGATTACTAGTACTTTAAAGGTTATTACTAGTAGGGATTTCTATAGGAAGTGAAAACTCCTATAGCCTAGTAATCGTGAGTAGATAACTACAATTAAATATATCAATCTAAACAAAGTACTACCTCTAACTATTATCTTTAAGACTACAAACTTAATATTAGGCTAGTTTAATACCATACTAAGAGACTGATACTTTAAAGTTAGTAATAATAGATAGATAACTAATTCTATAGGTCTCTTATAGCTTAAGGATTGCTTTATTTTGTATATTATTAAGAGGTAATATAGTACCTATTCGCTACTAGTTATAGATAGTTATAGGAGTTACCTTACCCTAGAATTTAATATAATCTGCATAGTAAATAATATTATTATAATTTATATGCCTACGCACTTATTATATCTATTATAACTACTAGATATTAGTTATTTTAGTATATTAAAGCACTTCTATAGCCAATATATATAGGATATAGTCTGTGTAAGTACTACCTATATTAATAAGCTTAATTTCCTTAATATCTATCCTATATTATATATAGTAACCTATAGAAGCTCTGTTATTATTATAAGCTTTACAGACTCTGGTATAATACTATATTTACTAGAGAGAGTACTACAAAAGCTTAATATACGCCCTCCAATACCTATACTACCACTATCTCGAGGTAGTAATAGTAGCCACGAATTTGTGCTATATACGTTATACAAATCAGTCTATTTTAGACGTTAGATATCGTTAATTTAACAACGAATTAAGCAGGCTTTATTTATATATGATAATAAAATACAACGACAACTAGAGCAACTAAGCAGGGGGGGCACAAAGTATAGTAAATAAAGTAGCTATTATAGTAGCTAATTATATGTATGTAATAGCTGAAAATGCTAGAAAGCAACGCAATTATACAAAACCTAGTACCCAATTAGCCTATGAAGGTAGTATTACTGTGGAGAATATGCAAATCTGTCTACAATTAGCACATAAGACCAATATAGCCACACTATTGGCACCTCCACACACAGCGAGACCGGCCAATGAGAGGGTGCCACAGTGTTGTGGTAATTGTCGTGTGGAAGGGCACAAGCGCAATAGGTGCCCGCTTAATAATAGCACCTAGTTTTTGCAATTTAATTGGCGTTGGTTGATTTATTCGTATAAAATATAGTGGTGGTGGAGATGGGTGGCCCTCCAGCACGGGTGGCCCTCCGACCCATGAAACACGTTAATCACCCCCGGCACTTCTAAAATACTAAAACATGCTTCCAAGCCGGAATTTTTATATTGACATATATGCTGCGGCCTTTAGAACGATTCCCATGGCAGGCGTCATGGGAAGTATGTTTGACATTACCCTCAGTCGGATCTGGCTGTGTTACGTCAGTATTGCGCTTTCAACTTTGGCTACACCTTTTACATTTACGAGAAAAGCTAGCTTTATCATTAAATATTGTTTTCCTTCCAATTAATGCTCTTTTAGCAGAGGAGAAGGTACTTTTGCGACAACCGACGTCATGATGAAGTTCACTCAAGTAGACACACTCAAACACGATGTGGGGGCAGTTTTGCTGAATTTATACCCAGCTGTTACCAGAGCGCAAATTTTTGGCCTCTTCAAATTATTTTTCCCGACACCCTACCAAATATTATCAATCACGCCAAGGCTGCTCAAACCCACCGAGACTTCAAGTTTGTCAGACTTCCGGACTACCACGAGGTCCTAGACAAGACTTTCTAAGCTGCCAAAGCTTTATGCTAGTAGGCCGAGCATCATGGAAATTGCTACTCAATCCAACATCCAAGAGCTTGAGACTGAGGGGATAGTTTACGAGGAGTCCGAAATGGCTCTATTTCTCGCAAAACTCTCATATTATTCCACAAGAGATAGATCTACGGCGCCCGTGAACGGGAACGTGAAATCGATTTCAGCACAGCAGGCAGAAATATTGAAGTCCTGGGAAAGAATTCAGCTATCTATTCAAATGATAATTGCCAGAGGACAGCGTCCTTCTCAGCTCCAGAAAGTCCAACTTGCCCAGTATCAGTGGAGGTTTCGCATCCTAGAAGGCCTTCTGGAAAACCAAGGAAAATCCCCAAATATTTGATCGACTAGCGCAGATCACTGACATTCCTCTTTTATCAGTTAATTTTAGTCCTTCCTATATCTATCTTTCAGGTCAATTTGAACTCTTCTCTAATCCTAGATACCAATGTCACAAATTTGAAACTCATATTGAGGCTACAAGGGCAGAATTTATGCGTTCCCTGTCATTTCTTTAAGTATACCTGTTTATAGGGCCTTTGGAAATCAAATCGGACACTGATTATTGCTTTGAATATTCGAAAAGTGGTGGATTTGAGTATATCTACTCGTCCGTCGTTGTGATTTGAGTTCAATACTTACTAGATTCATTAATATTATACTAAAGGGAACGACTTTCTGATGATAGATTTGATCAGTATTGATTAGAAATGTGAATTACAAGATGAATCAAAAGTGTGGGTTATAGTACGGCAGTCAAAGAGGCTCTCGAGTGATCTCTAGACATAATCCTATCTATCGCTTCTCGTCTGACCTCGTGCTTGAATAGTATTGGAACCCTATCATGGGAATAGGTCGAGGGTTCGGCAAATGACTAAATAAATGCATGAAATTTCAACAGAAGGAATTACCACAATCGACAATTCTAGAATTCTGGAATTCTGCTTCAATGTAACTAATGTTATGAATGCCAAAACATATACTGCTAGAGAATCATATATGCGCAGATTGTGCCAATTTCAATCCACCCAGGGATTTTGATCACCGTAGAGATGTTACTAACTGCTTTTTAAAAATTAATACGTTGACAT